GGAATAACCATTCTCATGCCTATAATTCAATATTTAGACTGGGGGGAGGTTGGATATAATAAACTTGTGGTCAGATTATGTCTGTCTGTGAATTTATAGACATATCACTTTTGATGCATCAAACCCCAGTAACACCACTGATTAAGTAGTTCTCCATCAGAGCGCATCAGTACATTATGTATCTAGGCTCCAAATCTACTCAGCATCTGTGTCTCTACTTGGGCTTTCTGTTATATTTTGTAAGGTTGTATACAGCTTTACATTATAAACTAACCAATGTCATGTGTCCAACTCGGTGACATTTTACAGTTGGCTGATAGCAGTATCTGCTCTCCAGCCAGCATGTGGGACTTCTCTCTGACTCCTGTAGGTGTCAGCAACACAGATGTAACTGTGGTAGGCAGTGCTACAGTATATTAGTGAGAGACAATAGTCTTGCTCTTGGAGGTGCTGTTGCACTAAAGATGGGTCAATATTAGAACCACTTTATTTGATCTTTGTGTTGAGTCATCACAAATCCACTTGTTGTGTGGCAGCTACATAGTTCACCCTCACAATGAACCATAGCATTCTTAATACAGTAAGTTACAGTAATATTACAGTAATATCTCAGATGGGAAACTGTCTTTTTTCTTCCACATAGAGGTCAGAGGTCAGGGTCAGATTCAAGACACAAACCTGGGTGTCTTGCTTTAGGAGACTTTAGGAGATTGCTTACTAAAGGAGGAGGTGTGGACCTTTGCTGCTGGGTCTCTCCTCATTAAGTCAACCAAACCTTCCGAACATGTCCCTAAATGCTTCTTCTTGTGGTGAAAGAAAGTGCTGGATTGAATTAATAAAGTTTAGAAGTTTTCAGACCAGTGCCTGACTTTTGTAAGAGGGGGAAACGTTCTAGAAACAGGTCAGGAGAGCAGTCGTCCAGGAACCGTCTGCGAGCCAGGAGCTGTCTGTGGACCTTACCCATCGACAAATCTGACCCTCTCCCGTTGGTCCAATCTTGGGGAAAAAATACATTAGAATTCGGGACCACTCTTCAGAAGGAAATCATCCCACCCACCATCTCAGACCTTCAACAGTCATGGATAATAACTTGAAATGTGATGTCAATTCTGATGCAGTCTGTAAGAAAGGACAGCAATGTTTGTACTTCCTCAGGAAGTTAAATGTTTTAATGTGGACAGGAAAATTATGTCCTTGTTTTATAAGTCGTTTACTGAATCTGTTTTCACTTTTCAGTGATTGCTTGAACCTGAAAATAAAGGATTAAAAACCACCTGAACCACATTGTTGAGGGTGCTGGGAAGGTGATAGGCGCCCACAGACGCCCCTGATGGCTATCTTTGACCAGCAGGCCAGGTCTATACTGGACTGTACAAACCACCCCCTGTACCGTGAGTCTGAAACTCTTCCCCCAGGCCGTAGATTTAGAGTACCGAGGCTGAAGCGTAACAGGAGTAAAAACTCCTTCGTTCCTTGTGCAATAACCCTGCTTAATTTGCACATGTACTTTTCATTTTTGCACTTCATTTGCACATGTAATTTTAGCATTGCTGTTTTTATATTATGGTTTACTGTATATTGTATGTACAGGAACCCTTTTTGTGTTTTGGTACTTGTGTTGTTTGTTTTTATGTTTGTGCCCCTGAATGTAACTTAAGTGTCCCATCTTAGATAATAAAATTACTGAACTGAACTGAACTTTGATCTATTTTGTTGGCGTAATGGTAAGAGGATGGCTTTTACTTTGTGGACTAAGGCTGTTGTGTTATATGCAGCTCCAGACCAAGCACGCTGGAGAATAAACCTAATGGGGAAACCCATGCAGACGCCACACAGAAGGGCCCTGCCCCAGGCAGGATAGTGATATTTAAGACAAATTATCACTGAAAAACATTCTTTATTTCTCAGATAACATATCATATACAATATTTACTCTTATATTTTTCACAAGGCCTTCTTGATTTTAAGGGGTGTAAGAAAACACCAGAAAATATACACAGAAGGCCTATATGTCAGCATTTGATTCATTTATGTGAAGAAAACAAAATTATTTTATATTTCTAAAGTTTTATTATTATTATAATTTTAGAGCTAAACTTTAAAGACCTGAACACAACCAAACAATAAAGGACCTAATAGAACAATGAGAAGAAAACACACACACAAAAATAATAACTATTAATTTGTATGACTGTCGAAAAAAAGGTAAAAACAAAAAGAATACATAATACAAACAGAGAATTGTATAAAAAGTTCCTAGAAATTTCAGTAAACTCATCTCTGATCAATATTCACAGGAAATAATCTGCTCAAATTCAACCAAATCGCTCATTTTACACAAACGTCCTGCAGTTATTGTGTTCACTGTTTGGGTCCATTGTGCAGTGTATCAGTTGTTCTGCAGTGAATATCATATAAGATATCAGTAAAATATGTCACTGAGTCAGGAGTTGTCAGTTTGTACTGATTAATAGAATAGGGGTCCTTTGAGGTAACAGGTTGGGACCCACAGTGTTACTGTGCACCCGCAGCCAGCAGTGTGTGAAATAATAACTCTCATAGCAACCAGTGCGTTTGAACTACAGTCACTGCGCGTCCAGAATCAGATAGAAACAGACTCAGGTGTGTGACACTGACATGAGCACACACAGAAGAGTTTAGTTTAACTTATTTTGGTTGTGTTGGATGCACATAAAGCGGTTTTCAAGCATGTCTTTATTTTTGTTACAAGCTTAACGGACATGGACGTCTCTCATTCATTCACATTCACCCTGCTGCAGCAGAACCCGGACCTTCAGTCCACCTACCAGCAAGTAAGTTCCAAATATTGTGGATATTAATGGAAGCTGTAACAGGTGGGATTGCATTCTCCCCTTCAGCAGCTCTCGGCCAGCATATTTCAGACTGCTGAAACTGTGCTTTGTTGCAACATCGCAGTCATCTGGAGAATGTGTGTGTGTGTGTGTGTGTGTGTGTGTGTGTGTGTGTGTGTGTGTGTGTGTGTGTGTGTGTGTGTGTGTGTGTGTGTGGACAATGTAATGAGCAGTGAAGTCTCTCTTCAGAGAAGTATGGAAGTCCATTTCGCCAATGTGACGGGGAAAAAAAGGATTCTGTAAGTCATTATAATGAGAAACTTTCTCAATGTTTTGACTTAGTATCACAAAGTCATTGTTTTGGGATGCTAAGTCAATATTTTGAGAAAGTTTCTCATTATAATGACTTACAGAATCCTTTTTTGTCATATTGGCGGAAATGGGCTTCCATAGTGAAACACAAGGCACATTTTTATTTAGCCTACTTTTAAACATATATATAGTATATAATATGAAATATCTATAAAATATATCACTTAGTCAGTTTACTCAATGATAGAAAAGGGGTCGCTTAAGGAATAAAGTTGGGAACCACCCCTTTAGATCTGTCCCCGAGTGTTTAGACTTCTCTGTTGGCTTGCAGTTTCCTGTAATCTGATCACCATTGGAATATCCAAAAAAGTATGGTCACTGATATGGAAGCAACTCATTGTGTTGCACTAATTGATTGTTATTGGTTATTTTTTGGAGCCAAAAAACCCCAAACTCCAATATTGCGGTGTCTTCAAACATGTAAAAAACATTGTCTCAATGTCTTCTGGCATTTCTATTAGTCAGGGGTGTTGTAACAAATGTAGTGGTTAGTGGATCGAATGCTGTCTGTAATTTAACTAGGCTGTTGAGCCTTTCTGCACGCAGTCAGAAAAGAGAGAAGGGAGACATTTAACACTTCGAAACAAGGTCAACCTTTATTTCTGGACAGACGAACAGCAGAGTTCAGCTCAGACGTTTCAGAAATTCAAAGGACACAAGAAGGTTCTAGTAATGTAAACAGGAAATTAAAGAATAGTGCACCAAATGAGAAGAATCTGCCTAATTTTGAATTACACATCTTTCAATCTGTATTGACACAAGATTAAAAATACATACATGTAACTTTTTTACTAACATGCATCTTTCTGTGAGCATGATTATCCTCCTAAATTTATTTTCAATACGGACTTGAAAATTGCATACAAACTGACTGATTTCAACATATCATAAAAACTCATTGTAAAATGGAAATACTAACTGTACAATTGACAGTATAAGTATCTTACACAAGACATACGCACCAAGATGGGATTTGGCATCAGAGCCTGATACACCTCTCCGGACACTGTAGGAAAGCAAAAAAATCTGCGAAATGATCTTTGCTTTAACAGCGATAACTAATTCATCATCAGAAAATCAGCCACTGATAAGGAAAACAAAGAGCAAAAACAGCACGGAAACAAATGCCAAGCTAAGGTATATTGCCACAACAAAACAAAATGGATGAGGGAGCGATGGTATTATAGTAACAAAAAAGACCGCCAAGATGGATTCTTGTGTGGTTTTGTGATCTTGCGAGTCCAGATGCCTCACAAGGTTAAAGCTAAGTTAGCTGGTTCTAATTTACAGCATCTCAGCAAGAAAGCAAATATGCCTTTAAGCGGGACTCATTTGTTACGTGCAAATTGGGTCTATGTGGCTGAACAGGCAGAGACAGTGTGTAGAGCCTGGAAGCTTTGTGGATTTAATTCAGTTCAGTTTTATTTGTATAGCGCCAATTCATAACAGAAGTTATCTCAGGACACTTTTCAAATAGAGCAGGTCTAGACCGAACTCCTTATAACATTATTTACAGATTTAAGGGGACTATGTGGTCAGTTGATGGAATTGCTTTGGTCAGGGTCAGTTCATGTTACTAAATGTAACTGGGTGATATCTGAGGGAGAGAGAGAGGGAGAGAGAGAGTGAGAGAGAAAGGACAGGAGATGTGGGTTGTGTGTGTGTGTGTGTGTGTGTGTGTGTGTGTGTGTGTGTGTGTTAGCATTCACTGATTGACAGAGACAGACAGCTGCAACAGCTGAATCCCAGCACAGATACAGTACAAAGGTTACTGCTATTAATATGCAAACACACACACACACACACACACACACACACACACACACACACACACAATGCAACACATTACATCTTATTTCACATCATTGCTGACAATTCCTGACTTTTCTGTAGCACTGCTTCTGTTGGCACTGCTCATCTTACAATTCAAACTTAATTAGTCGGAAACCCTGTGATACACATGTTAACACAGAGGACTTAATGTCATTGCTTCAACCTTTCTGTACCCTACAGTCATCTCAGTAGGAGCAATGTGACACCTTCAAGGCCCGGGCGGCCTATGACAGGGCGAGAACATACTCTGTATTTTTATGTGTGTGTGTTGGAGAGTGGGTGTCAGTGACAGAGAAGAGCGAAGACGCTACAGTTACCGCGGAGATAGTTCGAACAGGGGAGGTATCCTGAAGCTACAACTCTTGGACGTCTCTCAAGGTGACACAGCGGCGGCCATCGCTGAGTGGAGTACGCTGGCAGCCATATGTGCAGCAGCAATCGAGAGGTGGCCAGTTGATAATCACTGCACAACAAGAGGAAAACAGGAAAAACACGCATGGGAAACCTGCTATACAAGGTCAGAGACGACTGAAACTCCCCTTACTGCAGCTGCAAGAAAAACCTGCCAGGTAACAGTGATGCTGTTTGGTTGCATTGTTCAAGTCTTCAGTCCTAAGTGTGAAAACTGGAAAACTGAGAGCTGCAGTTAGACTACTGTGCACTGAAGCTACTAGCAGATACAATATACTCTACTGAGTCAGGAGAAGTGCCAACGGGATGGATTTCACAGTGTGCACATATTTGCAGCCATCTGAGGAATGCTAGGGTCCAGCTGTCACTTCATTCATGTTATGGAGTACACTCTACGCGTGGATGAACACTAGCAGCTAACACCAGTGGACAGCAGTTATTTTCAACTACATAGCCAGCGTCTTTAGATCTTAGGATCTGGATTCATCTTCCATAACACTAGTGGACTTAAGATATTTTGAACAACACAGCAAGCGTCTTTAGATCCCTGGATTTGGATTCATCTTCCATCGATGTGCCAATGGACCCAATCTAAAACTTAAAATATAATTCAGTCTGCACTGATTGATTGAACTGTTACCATATGCAACCGAGGTAATCCACAACATCAACTAGCGTGTTACGTGCATTCTAGACGGGATTACCTCTTTATCACATGAAACTGTGCATGCTACTTAGTCTGAGGTGGATAATCTACACAAACACACTGCTGCATTCAGAGTCAGCAGCAGTCCATTTTCATACAGAAATACTGAGTTGACATCTGGTCAGAGGTTCCGTTCTGGGTCCAGATGTTCCTCAACACGGTGCTGGTGGTCCTGACGGACCTGGCGGCCCGGTTCCTGGGTAGCACTGTGTTCCGGCAGCACTTCCACCTGTTGCTGTCAGCAGTGCTGATGTTCGGGCCTGCACTGAGCTTCTGGGTCTCCCAGCACAGCGTCTTTGCCAGAAGAAGCCACTTCCTCTACAGGTGAGGCTGCTTCCTGTTTACTTCCAGTGGTATTATTGTGCGCCTGCCTCCATCAGAGACAGCAGGCCCACAATGCAGACTGTGTTACTGCTCAAAGGAAACTGAGCCAGAGAAAATCATTTCTGTCAATTAGATGACGTGTCAGTGTTCAATTCAATTCAATTCAATTCAATTTTATTTGTATAGCGCCAATTCAATACAGAAGTTATCTCAGGACACTTTTCAAATAGAGCAGGTCAAGACCGAACTCCTTATAAAATGAGAGAGAGAGAGAGAGAGAGAGAGAGAGAGAGAGAGAGAGAGAGAGAGAGAGAGAGAATGGGGTAAAGACAGAAGGACAGAGAGAGAGAGAGAGAGAGAGAGAGGGAGAGAGTGATTGATTTGTTAAAAGCTGAGGTATTGTTGAACACGCTTAAGTCATTTCTTCTTCGTTAAACTATAAACATAGGAGCAGAGTAGTTTAATCCGTTTCCTGTGATAAATCTAAAAACCAACCAAATCATAAAACCAACCATCATGCATTTGTCTTTAAGGTCTGCTCTACTGCAGGTGTACTGCACTCATTAGCTGTGTCCTAATTCCACACTACATACCAACACTCAGGGTTGGGAGGGTTACTTTAAAAATAGTAGTGATCCCCAATTTTACTAAATGCAACTGTAATCTGATAAAACAATGTCTGTAAATATAATGGATTACAGTAACTTTTTTTGTATCCTGATTACATAACTCAGGTACATGAAATCCATTACTCCCCATCCCTAAGCCTGCTAATACTACATAATCAAGTAAACACTATGTATTAATCTGCACTGTTCTGGCAGTTAGTAACCTATGCCAGAAAAGAATGCTGCCTCATACTTACAGGACGTGATACACATACGCTGGTATTAAAGTGTAACTTGGAACATACTGCTGCGTGAATATAGTAGTGAATAGTGAAGTTGTGTTTTCTCTTTTCTATCATTTAGTAAACTGATAAGCTCTGATTATGTGACATATTTTATGGATGTTTCATGTTATACTCAGCTGTACAATGAACCCAAATAGTGAACTCAGTAACCGCAAAAAGTTTGTGTAAAAGGAGAGATTCAATTATTTTATTGAGGTTATTTCCTGTTAGAGGATCTTTTCAATGGCTTTTAAACAATCACACTAATTTGTCTGTTAATTCAATTCTATTTTATTTGCATAGCGCCAATCCATCACATAAATGAACGTGATGTAATGATGTTTAACCACGACACGTCTCCTCCTTCCAGGATGTTCTTGCGCTCCGGTTGGGGCTGGACCTGCGTCTTTGTCGGCTCCTTCGTCTTCCTCCTCTCTTTCTCCATCCGCCGCTCCCTCTCTCTCTCCATGCGTCACCTCTCTCGGCTCGGGGTGGCTGGGGGATTGTGGCTCGGTTTCTGTAAACTCCTGGACCTTCTGGAGAACGCCACGGGAAGCTGCTACGAGCCTTTAGCCGCCAACCCAGAGGTCGCCAACGGGCCTCTGTTGGTGCTGCGAGAAGGGGAGAGTAAGTCTGTGTGCCTCAAAGCTGGGATGCTGTGGAGGGGCTATGAAGTTTCAGAAGATGTCTTCCTCCTGTGTCTGTGCTGCCTGCTGTTGGCTGAGGAGACAGCAGTGTTTGGACCTTATCTGAACCTAGGTGGGATCTCAGATGCCCCCCTGAGGATCATCTTTCTGTTCTGTGTTCTCCTGCTTGGGCTCTGGATCTTTCTGCTGCTCTGTCTCTTGGCTTACTTCCCTCAGTTCCCCACACAGCTGCTAGGGGGCGCTCTGGGGTGTCTGAGCTGGAGGGTACTGTACCAGGGCTGGTACCGCCTGGGACCCAGCTGGTGCTGCCCCGGGAGGCCTGGACTGGGACTGCTCAACACCAAGACCAGCAGTGCTGAGGCAGAGAACCCAAAACTGAGCCACGATCACCGCAATTAACTGAAAGAACAGATGTTAACAAAGACAGATGTTTTAGATCATTAGCAGGAGGTTGTGTGAAGATGACTGAGGATTCAGTTACAAACACAAAACCTGTTCAGGAAATCCTGTAGAAACAGACAAACTGTGCTTTCAAAATGTGTCATCAAACACGCAGTTTTCTAATGCATGCTGGGGTTTTCTGTGCCATCGTATCAGGGAGTCACAGTGGGTGACAGCAGAGCCAGCGGTTTCCAATTAGGCTGCAAATGTTTGAGACTTTACTGAACCCACAGCTGCAGATTGGTTTACAATGCAGAAAAACTGAAAAGATTTGATGGGTATGTGCCAACCACTAAATCAGATATTATAGGACTACATACAGCGGTGCTCAGCCATGCTACCAGCTGTGTGAGGCTGTACTTTCATAAACCAGTGCTTTGAGATAAATGTAAACATCAGCATTGCTAACATGCACCCATTATAATGCTAGCATGCTGATGTTCTGCAGATATATTCAGCATCTTAGCATGCTATGACATGTTAGCAGTTAACACAAAGTACAGCTGAGGATGATGGGAATGTCATTAGTTTTACGTGTCAAACTTTCAGTTTGTCCAATACCTGGGTTCATAATTAAATATAATATATAATTCCCATCAGCCTGAGATGTACTTCAGTTTTCAATTAGCATATGTTAGCATGCTAATTAGCATCCTAAAATAAAAAATGGTTAGCATGGTTAACACACCAGAATTAATCAACCACTCAGACTATTTGTATGCTGAGGAAACATTGGAGGCAGAATTAGAAAAAGATGAAAACCAAGGATAAAAAAATATACCAAATAAAACAGATAGACGCACAAATACCCAAACAAAGTAAGAAAACTGATTACCATGTACATTCACCTCAAAGTACTGCTCCTCCTGAGCACAACTTCACAAAACCAAAATCCACCTGAATAAAGAGAAGACAATGGAGCATTTTCCTCCTAAATTTGTTTTATTGATAAATCGCCTGCAGAAAGAAAATATATACAAAAACATCAGACGTCAGAGGGTAAATGTGGCCTAGACATCTGATACAGCAGATCAGCTGTCAACCTCACAAAATGAATACATGCAGTTTCACAGCGCTCAAAAGGTATGGAGAGGTTGTACCATTCATCTATTATATAGAAAGACACAGAGCTTCTTGTCTGGAAAACAGTGATAAATTACATTTGTGGTTGATTACTGTTGGGTCAACTCCCTATGTTCACTTCTACCCACATAATGTCCATTAAATCTATCAGAAAAACTGAGGAAAGTTTCTTCATTAAAAATGAACAAGACTGTTATCCTGTATATACAAAGTCATTCTAGTTCATCCTAGACTGAGAGGACGTACATGGCCAATGATAATTAAGGCATATTTTAAAGTTTTGTCTTGAGAAGACAATCTGTTCTTCCAGGGACATACTCAATGAACAAAGTTAGCTTTTGCTGGTGTCACCATTTCAACATGGATCAACAAAAGTAAGACAGTGGAGTTTGTTCCTCAGTGACATCATTAAATATTGAAATACTGACACGCGTTCAGTTTGCTACAGCTACTGTGTGCCAGTCAACAGCAGAGAAGGCTGCTTCAGCATTTCATCCCTACACTGTATCGAGGAGCTCATGGTAGCAACTTCACTGATTATCAAACAACTTTTTGAATATTACCAACATGGTAAACATTAAAATCGAGTGAATATTTGTGTGTACTTGGAGAGGAACAAGTACATGTGGATGTACTCTCAGCCTTCAGTCAGTTACAGTACAGACAGTGGACTGAAGATGTCTCTGTGACGGGGTCAATGTGATATCAGACCATGGCAGATTTAAGGGAAGTACAAAATCATAAAAAAATGAAATATTTAAGGTTGGGGGGGGGGGGGATAGGAACAGTAAGAATTATCAAGAAAAAGATGGGATGGGTGAGTCAACTGAGTCCATGGGTTCCCAGTGACAGGTCATCATGGCGTCGTAGAGCTCCTCACTGCGCTGCATAAAATCTTTGTTCCACTGCTCCACGTCACATTCAGGGATGGGCTCTGGAAAATAACAAGTAATGATTTGTACACATCCACAGTACAAGGTAGATATGTGTGCATGCAATCAAAAGATGAAACAAATTACAGTGCAAATTAGGGCTTCGCTCATAGCACTGGCATTCAAATTCTAAAATAAACATTGAAATACTGCACATGTTGAGACTGCGTCTATAAAGAGCTGCAGGTTGGTGTGTCTGAGCTACACACACACGTGGCAGGATAAAGTGTGGCTCCTTCCCACAGGGTTGTGCGGAACTCTTTATTGGTGCTTTAGAATGCTGTGAAACTATCAAAATAAAGGTTTTATTTGACTGATACGCAGCTTTGTCCTCGCCAACGCCACTCCCTCTCTCTGCACACATCATCTAGCTCGTTCAGCCACTGATTTTACTTGCTCTTCACAGATGATGCCGTCAAATAGAAATTAGAAATACTTCTAATGTAAAAAGAAATGCGTTGAGTACAGCCCTACCCTTGTGGCACCAGACAACCCTGAAGTTGTGGATTTATCAAGATTGAATCAGTGAGGTGTTCACTGCTACCGCTCCTAAAGGGCCTTACCTTCTGCATTTTCCTCCTCCATGCCCCCAGTCTCCTCATGGCCCTGCTGGGGAAACACAAACATTATTTCAGAGACACTGAAAGTATAAGTGTGTCACATGAATGAAAAGCCCTGTCCTGAAAAGTCCTTTAAGCATGGGTGTCAAAGTATCTCCCTCACCTCTACAGCTCCAGACATGTCAGTGGACATGGGTGGCAACCCCATGGGAGGGGGTGGCATCACGTGGCCTGGTGGGGGGTATCCATAGGGCCCGTAGTTGTAGTTGTAGCCACTGTTGTAGCCGCTGGCATAGCCGCTGTTATAGCCGGTGTTGTTGTAGCCACTGTACTGGTCGTAGCCACCCCACTGAGAGTAGTAACCCCCCTGGCCCCCGCTGCTATTGGTGCCGTAGTAACTGGACGGGGACTGGTTGTAGTTGCTATGGTAATTCTGGCCCTGGCCCCCATGGTAGTTGCTCATCTTCTGGCTGCAACACAACGAAGACAACAACGTTTCATTAACAGTTTTTGGAATTTAGAGAAGAACCCTTATAATGCGGCGCAGTTATTGGAAACGTAGGCTGTGCAGACAGATGTACCTCTACAGGGTCATCCAGATTTCAGAGGGCAATATTGCTTTGTTCTTGTATTGTGCAGATTAAGTACTGTTGACTCTTCCTGTGTAATATATTAATATACTTAAACATTACTATATCAATAATCCAACTCTGAGGGGTCATTCTATACATGCAGTACTCTCAATTCAGATACAGTACATCTAATCCATACTATCACTATGCACAAATAATATTTGGAATGTAGGCTGTTATTTGTAGAGGCATTTCTTTTGCACTAGTAAAGGACCTGAATTCTTCAACCACTGCTAAGATGATAAACTCGGCAGGAAATAAACCCACATGCCTAACACCCAATTTGAAACCAGCCCTAATATTAAAAGGATAAAGCTGACCATACTTTTTACTTTTATTACCATCGACAAATCCTGTGAAAAGATTAAAATAGGGCAGCAGTTCATTAAGATGCAGTAAGTAATCGAGTATTCTAACGATTTATTCCATTGATCCATCGAGTCACTGGTGCAACCATCCTTTAGTCTGTCTCTCATAACTTCGACTACATCGTTTTATTCTGAGGGACATTAAATTGTGGGAGAAAATGTACAGTCTGGATATTTTGCCACGTTCCATCATGTTTCCTGTTCAGCGTCTTACCTCTTTGCCACGGCGATACTGAGCCTGAGCGGCTTTCCCCCCAGCATCGTGCCCTGGCACTCCTCAATCGCCTTCTTCTGCTCGTTCTCCTCACCAAACTTGACGAAGCCGTAACCTCTGCAAGTCAAACAGCAGTTACACCCCCTCTCCACACCACCACACACTCCATACTTGGCATTTAAAAGCCACTTATGAGAAACAGAATATAATGGGTATTATTATGGTAGAACTGAAACTTGTTGTTTTACTTTTTAACATGAGGTAGCATCACTTGAATTGTGAGTTGCTCTTGCTTAGCCTATATGGGGAAAACAATAGTTTTAGCATAAGACGGTAAGAAACATTTCTTCAGCCTTTTTCGAAAATAGATGAAGATGCACTGGTGTTCAACGTCCATAGCACTGCTATCTAAATAATCATTACAACAAAGAAAGCAGGACACATTTTATATTATTGTATATTTCTTACAATAATATTCAAAGCAGAATATTACACATAACACACCAAGGAAATTAAATATGTAGTTCATCTGATGTCAAACTGAATACTTTTAACATTTCTGAAGCCACATCACGGTCAGGTCCACCTCTAAGAGCTGACATACCTGGAGTATCCGTATTGGTCAGTAACCACTTTGGCTCCCTTGCAGGAAAGATACTTCTTGAAAACTTGATGCAGCTGGAAGTCGTCCACCTCAGAGGCCAAGTCTCCCACAAACACTGAGAACTCCGGCCTGAAAGAAGTAAAACACTCGGTCAAATGTTCTTACTGTATTACCATTACTACATTTGTGACATCACAAATAGTTAGGATGTCAGTCCTGGACCAGTATGCAACTCGTGCAGTGTGATCCACCAGTGCACATCCACTGAATATGGACTTTACAGTGAAGGAGGAGACATCTTCCTTTTATTGAGGTAGAAGGAGTACATGACTTTAAGGATTTGAATGTGGAAAAAATGTGTGTGTGTGGGGGGGGGGGTGTCACACCAGACACACGTTGTTCCAAGCAGACTGTCTGAATAGATGTCTGGAGGAGGTATTTAAATAAAGAACAAGCAAAAGTTAAAAGTGAATATCTTACCCTGCCTCTGGCCGTTTCCCATAGGTGGCATAGTTTAGCTTAAACTTCCGGGGCTGCACAGGGGAAGAGAGAAAACACACACACACTAAGCCGACCTCAAACACCAAAGACGTGTAGTATAGCACTGATATTGCTGAAAATAAAGAGTGGAGTTATTATGGTTGTTATTTGGGTTTACATACCTCCACCACCCAGACCAGCCTTTAGCCCATTCCTCAGTTAGTTCCTACCAGAGACTCTATTCACCAGCTTCAAACAAAGTACATTCATGTACAAGCAGCCTCTCAGCCACCTTCAGCAGCAGATACAGGCCGGTGGACAGGGGAGCCCAGTAGCTTGGCCAACTCACAAGGCCAGCAGCAAGCAGCTAAAGCTCACAACTTTACACAACACTGAGACATAAGTTTCAAGCTGGCATTATATGTTTCACCAGACCCTTAAATAGACTTTCTGTCACTACAGCCAATATACAATAAGGTTGCACTTAACAGTATCTGTGCTGTGCTATTGAGTATTACTTCTTTGTAGAGGATTTGGTTAAATTCTCTGGTATAGCACAATAGTAGTAGTGAACAAAAAGCAAATCAAACTAATTTGGCACATTTAACAAATGTATTAACAAGAATCTGGTGTGTTTACAGAGAAAAATGACAGCCGTATATTGATTCATAAACATTAAATACTATCGAGTTACTGTTGGAACAAAAGAGGACCAAGACTAGTTGAGCTCCACTATCCACAGTCAAATCAACAATTAAATACTGCTTGATAACGTAACTAATACTGGAAAAAAAGGAAGGCAGTATTAAATTGTCAATAGTATATTTATTTATATTCATGGAGAAACAATGATATATTACAGTAAGGATTGCATCAAAGATATATGAGTAAGTATTTTGCAATTACACCATAGAACTAACCGGGTTTGATCCAGGAACCAGTTTTCCGTTGAGTCTTTGGACGCAGCGGTCTACACTTGCTTCATCTGCCAGCTCCACAAAGCAGTATCCTGCTGAACCACTGCACCAGAGAATGGAGAGAGAGAGGAAACTGTTTCTAAAACAGCAACTGCACACAGATCATTGTGCCATCAAACCTGCTGTCACATTTTGATTAATACCGACACACTTTTAGTTTAGTTCAAATGGTTTAAATGTATAATTTGTAACATTTTGTTACCACTACAGAAACATTAAATAAGTACATACAACATTACCTGCTGTTAATTATTAGTTATAGTTTGATTAACGGTTTAATAAAGTGTGTATTAATTACTGACTTTGGCTGATTAGACTAATTAGCCGTAAACGGTTGCCCTTTGTGTGTGTATGTATAAACTACTGATTAAAAAAAGGACTCCTGATGAAATCAGTCATGTCTCAAAGTCATGTAGAGTGACCAAGGCTTAAGGGTGAGCTACAGGCTTGTCTTAAAACAACACTTGGTGTAACCACTTACAGTAGTTATTTATAATGGAGGTCAGTCAACACTTAACACTTGAGCTAGAGCCTGAAGAGTCTACCTCTACTAAACATGTTTGTGCTTGTGCTGTGTGTTACGTTCAGAGTCAGGCAGGGTAGTGGACTCATTAGCTGACTCTGCTGGGACTGGGAGTTCCCAGTGACTACAGCTGACAACAGGGTACAGAGGTGTTTAGTTGTCAGTTTTGGTTGCTGCTATCCTGGGGCAGTCAGCTAACGTTGGCTGCATGAGCTAACAGCATCTAACATTACTGTTAGCAATGATTTCGGTTAACGGCGGCTACATTAGCAGTTCGCTGCGTTGAGGCGGAGCAACGGGAGGACGTCATAGAGAACAGACAATATTTTCTCCATAAAATAGCACTGATAACGTTGTGCCTTCGTACAGTGATAACACTGATTTTTCGTACAGTCCTCAGGGAGGTCCAGCACTCTTATACATCCATACTACACTGCAGTAGAAAGACAAGAAATGTGTTTTTGGTATATAAAAGAAAAACTGGCATACATTGTTAAAAAGTATAAGTCAATATAACTGAGGATGCAACCGTACAGGGTTCCAATGACAGAAGCTGCGTGTGTATCTACCCTGTTATCCTGTGAGTGATGATCTTGACTCCAAACGGTGACTCTCCCATGGCGCTGAAGGCCTGCTTGATGAAGTTCTCATCCATGTACGGGTCCAACTAAGCACACAGAAAGACATTTAAATGCAACACATTCAATTTGAACCAAAACCAAACGCTCATCAAATGATGACAGAGTGAGTATGATTAATGGGGCTTTCCACCTCTGCTAGATGCTAAACAGTGTTTTGTTAACCTCAAAAAATAAAAGGCCTGTTTAAGAAACACAAATTAGGAGGGGGGGGGGCAAAGGTTACACTTCAGTGCAGATTTGCTATAATCATTAAGTATTTAACCATTTAACTAACGTTAGCTAACTACATATTCGTGCTGCGTTCAGTTACAATCAGGCTGACTATCAATCCTGTGTGATTCACTTCACAAACATTAACTTACAGCTCTGACTTCCTGAATGAAAACACCCTCCACACTCTACTCACTGGAGTTTGGGGTCTTCTTTAAATCGCTGGAGTACCGTTTACTTTTCTGTGACGTTACTTCACCTAGTTAACGTTACACGGTGCAGTTTCACATAATGGCGTTATATGTGAACTCCACCGATGAAGCTAACGTTAGCTCGCATCGAGTAACTCCACTAGCTAACGGTTGCTACAAGGCGGAGACGATGCTGTGGACGTGAGGGACGCTGGGTGAATCATTCCGAGCACGACAATGTACTATTACTGCTCTCAACAGAGGTTAGCCTAACCTTTTCCGACAGGGGTCACGTATCCGAGCTAATTTAACGTAACCAAGCTAGCAACCAGCACGCGTAGCTAGCTAACGGTAGGCTAACGGTAAGCTAACGTCCCCACACTGAGAGAAAGAGACTTCGGACATACATCACCCATCCACAGGCTCGTCTGTCGGTTAAACATCTTGAAGTGTGGAACGGAGATGGCACTATGGAGACGTCCGCAGGTGGTAACAGTTAGACAGAGTGTAAAAAGTGAAAAGTTACAATGTTAAAAGTTCTCAACACCTCGATCCCGGTTCTTCTTCCGTCTCAAACTCCTCCGGATACTTCCGGTGTTCTGCCTGCGCGCTCTCGCGAGGGAAATGCAGTTCTCGGCGGGCGGAACTCACATAACTGTAATTACCTGAGATATTTCTATGAAACCTGACACAACAAACATTATTACATCACCGTTACATCCTTAATGCATGCTAACAAGCTAAACTCTACTTACATGTTAATATAGCACGCTAATATGTGTTTGTTGTCGTTCCCACAGTGTGCTGTTTGTCTGAGTGCTGTCTGTACAGAGTTTGACTCCAGGCTGGAGGGAAAGTGCTTTAGTTGTCGAGATACCCCTACCGGAGGTAGAACAAAGCACAACAATGTTTTTTATTTTCTCCAAGGTCTCCCATATATGAAATAGATTCTTGTATAAAAATATTTTACTGCAAAAGTGGTTACATTGAGAGATATAGTGGCACACCCCAAATTTAAAGTCAGGCTGAATGGGAGACCATACACCTTCACCCATGTCATTTTGTAATCTAAGCTCTGATTGATCCCAAATTTGGTGTGGAAGTGGACAGGGGGCCCATATACATGTCTGAAAAAGAGAATGTGGATATCTTGATGCACTGAGGAAATAAAGTACTACAAACACAGAAGTACAATAGGCAGAAGTATTAAATATGAGGGTCTATGTTGAATGTATACATTTACTTTAAGTTAGCTTTGGCTGGGAGTGTCTCAGGATTTGTTAGAAAAGTCTGACTGTGCTGAATCCAGCAATATATGATATGTAACTGTAGCAGGTATAGTCAGTCATCTACAATAAGAAATGTATGACGTGTGCCAACAATAGCATTAAATAGATGTTAAAGGGGTGGGCATAATAAATTATTTATACATTATTTAACTTAAACATTTCTTGAGTAAAACAAATACAGCCTATTTTATTCAACTAATATATATATATATAATATACGTATAAGTTGTCAGTCCCCTTGAAATAATATTAGAACACCATTTTCAATAAAACTAAATATTGTCACTGTATTAAATATTCTAGTCATTTGACTGATTGAGCTCGCCTGGTAGAGAGTGATTGGATAAACTATTCGATCAACTATAAACTATTTGAGGAACTCTAAAACCTACTTGGACCCATGTCCATACACCACAGTCTTCATAGATGTGTTCTTAAAATGTCCAAAGGAAGTCTTAATGTGATAAAAATGATTCAGCTTTAACTAAAGAACTGATTACTGTAGCTGTTAGCTGTTAGCTTTTGACTTCAGCTAACATATAATTATACTTCATTCAACCATTCTGTTGTGTTAGGTTGATGTTAATTACTTTTGTTTTGTTTGTCTGTGTTAGAGGTTTTATTATCCCTTCTGCTCTTCGTTTCATGCTAGCTAACTTTGTGTTGTTAGTCAAAATTGACTGATCTATTTTAGCTGCTTAAAAATCTACCAGCATCCTTATATTATAATCTATTAATGTGTCCTCATCTTTCTATTAACTGAATTTAATTTGATTATCACAAGACTTGCATTTATATTTTTAACTGTATGGCTTAATTTACATGAGCTAATACAATTTGTCTTTAGCAAAATTAGCAGAGTGTATGAATGATTTGAGCTATAGTGATCGTAGTGTAGTAATTCATTAGCTGTTGTGTTTCCAGTCAGGACTGATTTGTTGTCTGAAGGATATTCCTCATAATGAATAGAACAGGACAGTCATAGTATAACCTGTAGAACAGCGCTAACCAATCTAATTCTAATTCATCTGCTGAAAGTGGAAAGTTTCTGTGTGCTCACTGAAAAGCAGATTTTTAAGGGGCGGGGCCTACCAGCAGGATTTGTGATGTCACAACTAGTTACTGAATGTGATAATCTACATGATAAGAACTCCTGGCATTAAAAGACAGGTATATATATATAATATGTTCATGGTTGCCCTTGCTTATTTAGATGTCATGAAACAGATCTTATTTTTTTAAGTATTTATTGAATGGTTTCATCAACCTAACTTAGACCCACGCAGACACAGGGAGAGAATGCAACTCCACACAGAAGGGAACAGAGCTTCTGTGAGGCCACCGTGCTGCCCTCAACAACTATTAAAGTTTTACAGCACAACTTCTCTCCGTATTTCCCGTGTGAGCTGTTGTGCTGGAAAACCTTCACAGTGCTGTTAGCCCTCGTCGTTGTTGGCGCTGACACAGATGCAGAGTGTCCTCCTCATCCAGCAGAAGGAGCGCTTGAAGCAATTCCTCTTTCTCTTCTCCTTCCTCCTCTCAGGGTCTGTGTCTTCTGAAAATCCAAAGCACATCAAATGCCTCAACTGTCCTCGCTACATTTAACAACAATTTGAAAGAGCTGTAACAGTTCAGACTCAAGTGGAGGAGAGCATTTCCTACCAGATGTGGTGTCAGTGAGTTCTGTGGGCTCCTGCTCAATGCTACAGTCCTCAGATAAAAGGAGAAGAAGAGGGAGGTCACTTTCAACCTCCTCAGAGTACTCCACTGGACCACTGTCGGAGAGGTCCTCCAGGCTATCCAAAGAGCTTAAAACAAACACACACACACACACACACACACACACACACACACACACACACACACACAGTTAATATATATGATTCCTGACATGTGATGATGTAGACACACTTCCTAATCTGCTCCAATGGTGGCCTAACTTCTCCATTCCTCTCCTGCTATCTGATGACTGATTTGATGTCCAGAGGAAATCATCTCACCTGGCTTCACTCTGCTCCAAGCTGTCCTCATCCCACCTCAGACAGCGTTCAGGTGGTGCAGACTGCACCGAGATGACACCTGGATAAAGTGGTGATTCATGAAATCCATTTGAGCTGCGAAATTAAGACACATAACATTTAATTAAATGAACAACAGACAGCTGACTAGGAACTCTTCAATCTGTTCTATTTCTTAGGAAAGTGATAAATGTTGCCTAAACTACAAAATAACAATTGTGAACAGACAATTAAATTAAACAACATGTGAGGGGTACTAAAGAGGAGGCAATGGAGTAATGTAAGGTGGGTTTTTGCCAAGCTCTGCTGAAACCATTGACGGCATATAATTAGTGGACAGAACCTCTGGGTCTGTGAAGTGAAGCCAACGCCATCTTGAAGGAAGGAGAGGAGGATATTGATGAGTCAGAACGTACCCGTCCACAGCCTTGCTCTTGTTGAGCTCAGTTGCCTGGGTGGTTTGTGGTTCAGCTGCCTGGTTGGTTTCAGGTTCCTTTGTCCTGTTGATTGCTAGTTCAGTTGTCTTGGGGGTGCTTAACTCTAAAGTTTCACTGCTGCTGAAGGAATGTCACACTGTTATATTCATTGTCAGGAATGGCAGTATGCCACTATTCAAAATTGTAAGTCAGAACAGTACTGGAAGACATCTCTAATTACACTTGGACCAGTCAAATGTAATCTATCTGTAATGCAGGAAAGTGTGTGACCAGGTAAGCCACTATTGTTTCCTTTAATGGACGAGTTGAGAGCACAGCCGATGAGAGCAACTCAACTCAGTTCATCACCACTGCTGGCTGCAAAAAAACGATTGCCGACCTCGAGACTTCAAAACAGTACTCCACAAACCAATGAGTGACATCACAATAGGTTTACACCTGAAATTTGGTTTCAACAGGTTAGGGTTTCCCCTTTCCTTAGTTTAGTTTAGACAGTTAACTGTTAGCATACTGTCAGAAAGAGCCTATGATGCTTACCTATGACTCATAGGATACAGCCTTGACAACGACACACTGATTGATTGACACACTTACAGACAGTAACAGTTTGGAATATGGGGTTTGGTAATAATGAGTGGGACAGATCATGAAAGTGCTGAAACAAGTATAATATTACAATTATTATTATAATTGTGGTGAAAACAGGGACTATTTAGTGTTTTACATATGTTTGTTGGAACTTGGGAGACTGGGACATACTGGAATAGCCAGGAGGTCTGGTCACCGTTTTCTTAGCACAAAGGAAACAATGGAACTGCTGTAGAAAGAAATTGAGTAGTCGAAACCTACCCGTCAGGCTCGCTCTCCTTGGTCTCAAAAGCATGGGTGGTGAGTGGTTCAGCTGTCTCAATGGTCCCAGGTTCAGTTGTGTTGGGTGTACTGGACTCTAAAGTTTCACTGCTGCTGAAGGAATAAGTCATACTGTTATATTTATGGTCAGGAACAGCGGTATGCCAATATTTAAATTTGTAATCTGTCATCCAATTAGAAATTAGTTATTTACTATTGTGGCAAGCAGTTTTAATATATAAAAGGTTTTATGTGACTATCACCATTTCCATTTTAGAAAACTTCAAATGCATTTATCATGAAGTCATTCAGATCCCATTTGGAGTCATAACAGTTCTGGAAGACATCTCTCATTACATTAAGACTAGTCAAAATTCTAATCGAATCAATTCAATCATAATTTCAAAACTTTAACTAGGCACAGGCATAAACTGCTGATCATGTGAATACTGTCAGTCTAGTAGATGATGAATCAACTTGCCATATGTGTATACACTCTGATCATCTGTATACAAAGCAATAAAATAAAGATTTCTCAATAAGACTCCTGACACTTACTCAGAGCTATGGTGGACGGTGCCCCTTGTGATGAACGGATGAGCGAGGACTTCACCGGGTGTAATCCTCTCACTGGGATCCATCCGAAGCATTGCCTTCAGTAGGTCAATGCACTCCTTCCTTTCATCGGGCTCCACCTTATTCAGGTTGTCCAGGGGCATCTAATGTGGGAAACAAAGGACAATTAGAAATGGAGTAAGTAAAGATGCACATAAAGAGAATCAGAGAAAGAGGAAGGTTTTCAGCAGCTACTGCACAATCTACTTAAACACCTACCATCTCCACTTCGTCCAGTTTGTGGAACTGGTAGGCCTTGTAGTTGGTGCGAGGTGTGCCTCTTCTCCAGTACTCCTTGCGTGTCTAAAAGAAGGTCATGTCAATTTCAGACAGCTTTTCATCACTTTAACTGATTAACTAGTAGAAAACTAAAGAGAATGTGAAGGAGGACCTTGTTTACCTTCAGTTTCCAGCGACCAGAAAATGTTTTTATAAAATATTTGTCTGAGTATATCCCAGCTCTCAGAAGATGTTCTGGAGGTATACCCAGGAGATCCACTATATATAGTATCTGAAGACAGAACACAAATTTATAGCATCTTTCAAAGTACAAATTTCTTTACATCTGCCAGAAATGCTTCTAAAATATAAATACAGACAGCACACCAAATATTCTACTTCATGTAACATAGGATTATGTAAAAGTCTGTGACTGGTTATGTCCACATGTACTAGTAAAGGATGAGGTGACCATTAAAGATGAACAGTTTTTCAGGAAGTGAGGCCAGTCCTCCAGCAGTGCTAGATCTTATATGAAGAAAGGAAAAAGGGGGCAATAAATGACTTACTGTATCATACTCAGTTTCCCCAGGGAAGAGAGCGTTGCCAAGCACCAAGAACGCCATCACAACACCCAGAGACCACATGTCGATGGCCTCTGAAATTGGAAGTCCCAAAATAATTTCTGGAGCTCTGAAAATGAAACAAAGGTAGAACACAGGACGAGGAAGACTGTCATGTTTAAGCTGATGGCAGAAGTATCCTACAAACTATATATGATTTATGTTTCTGTGTAGCTCACCTGTAGGGCAACGTTTGGTGAATGGCACCCTGCTTCACTAAAGAAGCTGGAAAAGCCAATCCAAAGTCAATAAGCTTTGCTGTGAGGGGCTGCGCGTTGCGATCCACTACCATGATGTTGTCTAACTTTATATCTGAATGGATCACTCTAGCCATCTTCAGGGCATTCAATGCCGTGGCCATCTGCAAGTACAGAGATCAGTCATCAGTGAAATTCAGAAAATAAAGCAATGCTGATATAGCTCTTTCACTTTAGTGTTGAGTCTAATGCCAACTGTTCCCATACCTGTTGGACTACACTCCTGACTTCATGTAAATCCAAAGGGGTAAAGTTCCTCTGAAAAAAAAGGTTGCTAAGATTCTCATCCAGCAATTCGAAGGCCAGACCAGTTCTCTCGTCCTCCAGCTTGAGCAAGTCAATGAACCTGACAATGTTGCACTTGTCCAGGTTCTTCTCCATGAGGAAGTTCAGTAGAGTCAACTAGAGACAACACAGTAGACGTTTGATGCTTACTTGTTGACACTTTCAAAACTTTATGATATTTAGATAAAAGCAATATGAACATTCTGATGACTAAAGGGACTTACTTCAGCTTTGAAGCTGCAGCCATAGTGAGGGACCTTTACAGCAACAGTCTCATTGGTGTCCTTTTTGACACATTTGATCGCATCTCCAAAGCCTCCCTCACCCAGAAATGACACCAGCTTATAGTTGCTGGGGAGCGGGTACATAGCACGGAGAATGCTGGGGCAGCGGCTGCTGTCAGATGAACTGGATGATGAGCTATCCGATGAACTGTACAAATACATCTCGCCAGTTGGTGCAGAGCTTAGCGTAAGGGATAGGGGTATATACTGTAGGTGTGGTAGGAGTAAGGTTAGGGTTAGGGTTAGGGTTATGGTCAGTCTTAAGAGAGCATGACAATGGAAACATGGGTCAAAGAGAAGCACAGGTTACTTTGAGTCCCTTTGTCTGTGTGATTTTGTCATGTTTAAACAGCTCAGTGTGGAGCTGTGTGTCTGAGATCTGATCCAAACTGAATGCATTCCCCAGCAGCTGCAGGGACTTAAGTTCAAGTTCATAAATGTAAGATACATTTGGAGTTGACACACACATGCAGATTCACTACAACTGCATTACTTAATCATTTAAACAGCAGTCAAACTGAGTATGAACTAACTACACTTTGTACTGAAATATTTTTAACACATTTCTGTACAGCAGGGAGCAACAAACAGTGGTTTACCTGTGTCACTAAAGATTTCCAGTTGGTTGAGTTGGTTTGACTCGTCCAGAGGTTGATTTAGTTTGAGATTCAACTCTTCTTCTCTGTCCACTTGTACTCAGTAAAAAGGTTCTAGAGTATCATGTCTACAATCCAAATGTTTGTGTGTGTAGTTCCATGGTTCCAAATATGCAAATTAGTTTATTTTCACTAAAGTTCTTAAACCAAATGAGAAAAGTAACCAACAGCATTTATTCACTTCACTCGAGTACAGCTTCGTATCTAAACAGTCCTGGTTTAGAGAGGTCATCAATCATTTTGTTTTGTTTGTCTCAGTTATTGGAGAATGTTCTCAGCTTGTAGGAGCATGTACTGCTGCAACTGATCTGAGAGCAGGTTAATCATCAATATTGGAAGATTTTCTGCAGGCTGTGACAAAATAGTATATGTTAGCAAGTAAAATCCGTATTCGAGAATAAAATAAAACTAAACAAAAACGGAACATTTTTACATTTTGAGCAAAAAAAACACAATTAATACACATAATTATCCCAAAACTGGGGATACAAGGTTTCCGGCTGACAGTGAAACCAAAATCTACTCTTCATTCCTATGAGTACTGAATAGCACTGAATGTACGGTGGCTTTTAAGTGCCGTCGTGATTTGCACTTTAAGACCACGCAGATTCATCATTTATTAAAAAAAAGTTACCACACTAATGTGTTGAAATGTATGGAAGCTCCCGATGAGTATATTATTCTGTGCAGCTATTTTCATTATGCATTTTTATTGATATGCTTACGACATATTGTTTGCAAGAAGGTAAGGAATAATCCTTCCTTCATTTCACTAAACTTGCCCTGAAAAGCAGTTCCCACTGAGATTTGAACTCAGATCACTGGATTCAGTGTGTAGAGTACTAACCATTACACTATCATATATGTTACATACTTGCACTCACAGACAGGTGGTGTAGCTTGACAGGATTGTACGCTGTACATTTTACGTCTTGTCTGCTTTACACTACAGATTGCAGTCAGTCAGTTTCCTATCCATCACTGAATGTATGAAATTCTAACTGTCGAGCCAGAAGGGCCAAAAATGAAATGGCAGCTACAGTCCTGCGGATGAGTTTTATGTTGTGACTCGAGTATTTTCTCATATATATAATATCAGATATTTCACTCACATGTTCAGCCTAAACATAGTCCATAAGATAAAACATAAAATGAAATCCACAATTTGTGTTGATACTTGTATACATAGAGGTATATTTGTAAAAGTGATAAAAAATACAAGTAAATGCTTGTATCTAAATGCATAAGGACAAAAAGTGCCATTGCTAATGAATGAACTTGTAAAATAATTTTCCTGTTGTCAGTGGTCATGTAATTGTACAGTCTATGTGTTAAACCTATAACCTCTGCAAAGCAACTGAATCCTACAACTGTACATGAATGCAGTAGATAAAAGTCTAGGCTCAAAAAAATGAAAATACTCTTCAGCTTCAGTTAGGATAACAAAGTCCAAAAACAGGCTGAATATAAAGCTGTTTCTGTTCTTCCTCTGGGTGAAATGTATGTAAGTTAATTGTTATTTAACTATTTTGGTTTAATATTTGATTAAATGTACAAATATATACATTATTTCCTATATATGTATATATATATATATATATACATATATATGCATGTGTTTGAAATTTTTTTAAAAAACAAAAAACTACACACACAGTCAGTGCCGGGCCCCAGTGCAAAATGATCATAGCGGGCCTTCCAATCACAATCAAATGTAATATGATGTAATGTCAGTGGTGAGTTAAAGAAATAAAAGCATGTTGCTTTAAAACAACCAGTAACAGCAAAATGCACTGCACAACTGACACCTAAATTAAATGAAAGCAGCCGTGCTATAGAAGATGATGTCAAGGCTGAGACAGTGATAGACTAGCCTGCTTGACCAAATTGTTGCTGGAGTGCCATCAGAGATTAAAACGCACCTTCACACAATTTAAAAAAAACATAACCAGTGACAGCCACCTGAAACCATGATCCTATTAGTGATTGACATTACTGACCTGTTTGATGTCTGCACATAGGCATTATAAACACAACTGTGTAGACTAATTATTGTACATCAATGTACAGACTGTGGAGGTATGAGCCAACACAATGTTTGCATGTGAAAGGGTTTCATGTTATTGTATTGTTCATTAATGTGAATGACATCAAGTGATGGAGACACAGAGTAAGCTTAGCTCACTGACTACTATAAATACATAGCACGATTACATGTACATTCATTGGCTGATACAGAGGCAGGAGTCATATGGCACACTATATTTATTGAAACACACTTTTATGATCCATAATGAACATTGAAGCTTTTTGATGTGACTATTTGATCTGTTACATTTGTAGGGTGTCTTACAGTGTGTGTATCATCAGTGTGATCAATGTACTGTCCTCTGTGCTTGATTCACATCTTATCTCACCTTCAAACCTAAGCTGTGTGACAAAACATGACAGGACTGAAGAAAATTCAAAATGCATTTATTTCTATTATAATTCATCTTGAATTACAATTCATTTTGCATTCTAAATGGACATTATGGGTCTTCATCCAGGTGTACTCCACCTGTGTACAAGGAGAGAGACAGTTAATGTAGGGTTCTCTGTATATGTAATATAACTGACCTGAGAAAAGCAGACTTATTACAAACAGATGTATTTGTAGAATATTTAATCATTTTAAGCTTTGCAGCTTTCAAACACATTGTTGATTTCACATTCCATTGGTTTATGTAAACTGCATTGATTACATTACACAGTATATTTACATAAGGGTCAAAATAATGTTGAGGATGTTTATTTATTGATTTAATTCAATTCTATATGACTTGTGTTCGTACAGTTTTAGTTCAGAAGTGTCCAGTCTGAACCTCAGCCTGCTAGCCTCTTCCCTGCTATTGGTTTGTTTGCCATGTGACCAATCAGCATTGGGTTTGTGAGCCTGCTTGTACTGCTAGCTATTCTGCTACCTGCCTCTCCTGCCTGTTGTGCTCCGGCTACCCTGTTGCCTCATAACCTTTGAGCCTTTAATGAACTTAAATGTACTTGCCTGATGTGGTTGTCATGGCTCCCAATGTCAGACTCTATCAGCAGCCCAACGGGCTACAGTCTCAGCCATCAGGTCCACCTGAACCTTAGCCAATGAGAGCACATGATCCACAATCATCTCAGCTGCCCGGGGCCCCAGAGCCTCAGGCATCCAAGGTTGCAGGGCCTCAACCATCCATGGCTTCAGAGCGTCAAACACTAAGGTACAGAGGCCGTTAGCTGTACTACGCAGCAGAACCTCAACCAGCCGGTTTCTCCAGGTCTGCGTTGGGTGCCCAGGCTGACGCTCTGCCAGATGTTCTCCGCCATCCTCGTTGGTCCTGTTGGCCCTGAAAACAGACAGCAGGGAGTCAGTTAACAGGACTGAAGAATGATTATTCATGGTGTTTGGATGGTCATTATAGATGAGGAAATTAGTTTGCAAAATAAAACATCAGTGTGATAGTAACACATTGAATATGGACAAGTACCAAAATATTCAGAATCCATTCTGTTCCAGCATTTGGCTAACCAAAACATTGTATCTCTAAAAACCTCAGTGCTGACAGAATGCACAAATTCCACCTTTTCTACCAGATAGACTTAAACTGATACTCAGACTATAAGTACATGTTTAAATTAATTCATTACACAAGGTTATTTCTTGACTACCTTATATTAATTTTCCTAATTTTTAAATACATTTTAAGACTAAAACTAAAAAATGTGACTGACTGACTGAGAAACTATGTTGTCCTGCTCAGGTCCCTGCACTCTGCAATTCTTCTGGAAGGATTCAATAAAAAGGACATTTTACTGGGGAGATTTGTTGAAGAGTCTAACAATGCAAAAAAAATTACGCACATTAGCATAAAATCTTGACGTAAGAATTATTGTGTTTTTATTAACATAAAATGAGCCTGTTATATCTACAGATGACTTCCTTGGAGTCCGTCAAGTTGAACCACCATGTTTCTACAGTAGCCCAGAAGGGACAAACCAAATACTGGTGGTATATTGGGGCACTGGCCACCATAGTTTCTCCTTCATGCTTAGAAGGTGAGGATGAAGCAGCAGAGTTGCAACTACACACTGGGCCTTTAATATGTTCACAAAGTGTTCACAATGTGCTCCTCTTTAGCCAACATTTAATCAATGCAGGCAAACCTTTTGCTAACTATTTGTACTAAATCAGTTGTTCCTGCCCCTGCCTGATACAACATTAGGCTCAGCAGCTCTGTCTCCCCATTCCCATACCCAATATCAATCAACCAGCCCTACTCCCAACTGTTGAATGACATTTCAGTTGGGATATTTGCAGGGGGTTTGGTTAATTTTATTTTTGTATTAGAAGTAGAAGAGGAGCCGCTCCCTCTGTAGATATAAACAGCTCATTCTAAAGTAACGAAAACAACGATTCTTATTGTCAGGTGATTATACACTAATGAAAACATAACTATGAATATTATATTCCATTTCTGACAATAGATCCTCCTAAATGTTACACACTAAACCTTTAAAATTAGACATTAGGCTGTAAAAGAAGGCAGTAGATCTCATCAGTAAATATCATCAGCAAGTACTGCACTACAAGACAGTTGCACGCCTACAAAGGTAGAGTTATATAAAGCTTTGAAAAGTGTGATTACAATAACTGTGCAGGTTGGTGTGATCTGTGGTGGTGGGCCCCAATCTGATATCTTTTCATGGGCTCAATGAAGTATATAACACTGAGTTAACCTGCAGTCTCTAACAGACCTTCTAAGAGACCTTCAAGTATCTTGGAGAACAATGTCTACACTGCACATTACTATGGCAATTACCTGGTGGCAGTGGTGTGGTCCAATCCCGCACCGGCAACAGCTGGGTCCTGGTTCCTGTCCTGGGGGTCAGAAGCACCACAAGGGGCAGCACAGTCAATCGAAGGTGTAATTAGATGATTAACAGCAGATGTTACTCTAATCTTTTCCTTTTTTCTTGCGAATGACTGATTTTACTTCAGGAATCTAAAACATTAAACAAACTAATTTTTTTGGATGGAACTGGTCTCAACTGGTGGAGGAATGCAACCACAGCTTAACAAGGGTGCAAAAGTGGATTTTTCTTTGTTTTTAGGTGTCACATATAAAAAGGTTGTGAAACATTGCTCTCTGGGCAACTCTAAAGCACAAAACTTCCTCTTTAAGTAACTGCCAACTGAAAATGCAGCTCCAGCCCTCAGCCTATATACTGGTGATGATTTTACTCATATTCGAATTTCCTGTAGTTTAATGGGTGGGTGTCTGTAAACACAGAACACAAAGGACCTAACACATAGCTACTCTATATGCCACGCTAACAATTCTGTTAGCAAGTGGTGTGTTAGCTCAAAGAAATCTATAGTTAACCTGACTGCACTGTGTTAAACTGAAACAGTTTCATGTTACAAATGTAACTTGTCCATAACATGTTATCATTGTATCTTCTACGTTCAAAGGGCATAAGAGAGCACTGCCTGTGTCACCTGCTGTTTTTTTCAAGCCTGAATGAACACTCTACCTTTTAAATGGCTGATACACTCAACTGATACACTCAACTTTACCTAGAATTTAAACATACAATCATATGTATTAATTAATAAAAATATAATACATTTTCTTTAGGCTTCCCAAACAACCAGCAAAGGAAATGAGTGTTTGTAATCTACCCTTCTTCTTTACTGATTGGATGATTACAGCTCGAATCTACGATCACCCACATTGTCGAAATCAGCTAAATATTCAGCCATAACAATGACAATCTTTTACATAACACTAAGGTACACTTTCCTGACGGAGCGCAATTGCTTGCAAGGCTCATATTACAGCCCCTTTCACGGCTGCAGGCAGCAGCTCTCTCACGTAATACTGGACTAAATTCATTCTTCATTTCATTCATTCAAACTCATTTCCCCAAACATGGGAAAATAAGGTTCAGGTTTAAAAATACCAAAGTTACACTTCAATGAACGTGCTATGCTAGCAAATGCTAATGCTAGCAAATGCTAATGCTAATGTGCATACGTGTCCTGCGTATTCAGAAATCTAATCTATATTAGCCATGGCTGATAAAGATGGATTTTAAGTGTATTATATCGCCAGAACATACTTTCATGATCAACAGATTTTTAGTAGTTTAGCTTTTGAACTGGTGCTAAAGGAACATGACCATGTGGTCTTTACATACTAAACGATCCGCATCAGAGTCGGCTTGAAAGTCGACCAAGGTGGTTTGTTGGCAAAATTAACAACCTGTTGATTCACTGCTAAGTATTGTATAGAAACATTTTAAACAATACGATAACACAGATGACCTTACCATTGTGAACACGAGATAGTTTTTTTTAATTTTGACGTCTTGCAGTATGGCTGACAGATCACGTCAATGGGAAGTGAATCGTGACGTAATTACGTTTGGTATCAGCACCACTAGTCGACGCTGTCCACCTACAGTTTAAGACGCTGCAGTAACAACAGTTAGCGGCGCTGTAATCATGGATCATAGACGGCTATTCAGAGCTTTTGAGATGGTCTTCGAGCAAGTGAAAGTGGACAGAATTTTGGTTGATGTTGAACATTAGATTTGTTTGAACAATCATTTTACAAGAATCGATCATTTTTATTGGATGGGAAAAAAATCTATTTATATCTCCTGTAATTAATCATCAACAAGTTTTGGGGATTATCTGAGGACTACTGAAATGCAGCAGTCCTGAATGCCCTACTTTGAAGGAATAAAATAAAGGATTCCAGCTTACCTGAAATTATCCTTTACTGTTGTTTCACTCTGATTGTAAAGACATGGCTGTGTAAAAAGGATGTCCGATATGTGTTGATGAATCTTCTTTAGTTGCTTCCACAGAAAATAAAAAGACTCCATTTCTTAAAATGAGATCCGAACTGTGTGTGATCCCTCCATGAATCAAAGCTGCAAATCTGTGAAGAACCCATAGTTCTGTACAGTTCTGTGGTGTACCGGGCTTATTGCCTCCTCTTGTTCTGTCCCTCATCTGAGTACTGGTTGTAGCTGTGATGGTCATCATCTTTCAGCTTTTTGTCCAACAGAATGAACTTTGTAATTTTCCTGCCCTCTCAGTTTTGTATTCATGACTTTGATTCCTACAGTAGTTGTTATTACCTTTGAGTACTGCCCACATTCAGAATGAATTCAGTCAAGTACTGAAGGGTTAAACAAGCAACCAGAGCAGTCCCAAACACACTTGGAAGAATTGTGGTGTCCACATTTGTAGTCCATTTGGTCCCATGTCTGTAATAAAATGACAATTAGAAGTAAGTGTGACTGTAAAAATATAGTGAACCTCCTTCTTAAATCCCTTAACCCCTTCTCAAAATGAACTTACCAAGTTGACTCTCTGTGCTTGATTAAAAGTCATCACTGTCAGTGCAGATGAGATATTTGAGAATTACATTAGTTTCACCTCATTGTCACAAAGCATTATTTAGTATTTTATATATATAATGCAGTACGTACACACACACACACACACACACACACACACACACACACACACACACACACACACACACACACATAAAATATACTTTAAATACTTAAAATTGAAATGATTTACCTCATAGAGAAATCCCATCGACAGTCAGTGTCTGTCTGCCAACAATTCTTCTTTTAGACTGTTTTCAGGTCAGTCAGTAGGAAGGGCAGGTTACCTTTTCACCTGCGTCATCATGATGTGGGTGTTGACCATATGGCATTTTATCGTGACACACCAGACATAGTCTAGTCTACAAAGAAGATATCAATCAGTACAATCTTTTGTTGTAGCCTTCAGAAATACAAACATGCACCTTTAGCAAACAGTATTCAAGCATCCCACTGACAGAGAGGCTGTGGTAAATATCTGGCCTGGGGGTGGCATTATGTACTATACAATGAAAGACTAAGGGATAAAAGCAGAAGTCATGCAACATTTAGGGCTCTAATTGGTTCCTATTTTTCAAGATCTAAACTTTACAACTACTTTTAATTGCACTTGTATCTGACAGCAGCAGTTTTATGACTGCATTCTAGATCAACTTATTATTTTCAAAACAATAATGACATTATTAAGAAATGTGTTGAATTACTTACTTTCTCCATTTCTTTCTCTCCAGATGAGGAACTACATTGTTTTCATTAAGAATTTAGATGTTTGGGTTTTTTTGTATTATTAATAGATAGATAGATAGATAGATAGATAGATAGATAGATAGATAGATAGATAGATAGATAGATAGATAGATAGATAGATAGATAGATAGATGGGGAAGGGAAGAGGGAAATTCAAGTATCCAGTAGCATACAAAACACAAAACATACATTAAACATACATTAAACTAAAATTAAAAACCCTAACCTTAAGAATAGAATTAAAAATAAAATAAAAGATAAAATATAAAGCTACAGTAAACAGTGCAAAACAGTAAAACGGTGCAAATGGAGTGGAGTGCAAATGGAAGTAGTCTGATGGCCAGGGGGACGAAAGAGTTTTTGAGTCTGTTGGTGGAGTTGGACTGGGACAGCAGTCTGCCACTGAACACACTCCTCTTCCTGGTGAAGGTGTTGTGCAGAGGGTGGTGGGTGTTGTCCAGTATGGACAGCAGTTTGTCCAGGGTCCTTCTCTCCGCCACTGTCATCGGAGAGTCCAGCTCTGTGCCCACCACTGAGTCAGCTCTCCTCACCAGTCTGTCCAGTCGTCCTGTGTCTCTCTTCTTGCTGCCCCCCCCCCAGCACACCACAGCATACCACAGCATACCACAGCATAAAAGAGCACGCTGGCCACCACTGACTGGTAAAACATCTGCAGTAGTTTTGCAGATGTTGAAGGACCCCAGCCTTCTCAGGAAGTAAAGACAACTCTACCCTTTTCCTGTGTAAAGCGTCCATATTTGCTGTCCAGTTGCAGCCCCAGATATTTATAGGTCCTTATCACCTCCACATCAACCCCCTTGATGGACACGGGTTGGAGATGTGGTTTCCTCCTTTTGAAGTGCACCACCATCTCCTTGGTCTTCAAGGTGTTGATCTGCAGATGGTAATTGTTATTCTTGATTAATGCTAACTTATGAGTTCACCGCGTAGATATTCAAATTTTCCCTACCCCAAAATCAGGTCCCACCGAGATTTGAACTCGGATCGCTGGATTCAGAGTCCAGAGTGCTAACCATTACACCATGGAACCACTTTCATGAGCAGAAGGTGGCAAATCCCATGAATACACCAATGACAATCCAGTAATGCTTACTAGATATACGCATGCTTGTTAATGCATTTCATTTTATAAGAGATACCTTCCCAGTATCTGTATGTAATTGAGGGTCTATTGACACAATGGCCACCTTGTGACGCTATCCTGTATTGAAATGTATCCAAGCTAGTTGTTTATATTTGACATTTCATTTGATGATGATTTATTAATCAACAATTATTACATTTAGCATTTAAAATCAGGACCCACCAAGATTTAAACTCGGATGGCTGGATTCAGAGTCCAGAGTGCTAACCATTACACCATGGAACCGCGCTCACATGTCAGTGCTGTAGGTGGGAAAGGTCATGAACACACCAATGACAACCCTGACATTGTTTGAGGGACGCAACAAAAACACTGCACAGCTAAAATAAACATGATTTTACATTGCACATATAAAAATAGTTTACATGAAGAAGGTGTCTTTTCTACTTGATTACAGTAATGCTTATTAAATATGACCATGCTTATTAATGCATTTCATTTGATAATAGATACCTTCCCAGAATCTTATGTAGTCCTGGGTCTATTGACACAATGGCCATCTTGTGACGATACTGGTGTTGAAATGTATCCAAATTAGTTGTTTTTATTTGTCATTTCCTTTGATGCTGATTTATTAATCAACAATTATTACATTTAGCATTTAAAATCAGGTCCCACCGAGATTTGAACTCGGATCGCTGGATTCAGAGTCCAGAGTGCTAACCATTACACCATGGAACCGCCTTGACCCTGTTGATTCTACATCAAAACGCTACAATGACGTCAAGGTTTCAACAGGTTACACTGAAAGTGTTTGAGGGACATAGATATGAGTAAACACATTATTATTTAGGATTAAACTTTAACCGACTAATTTCTATATTAAAACACCTGTGACACTCCCACATTGCGTGTAAGTTCCTAACTAGTTAGAAACACATTGATGGTGTAAAACAAGCAACAAAACCTTTGAAGAACCCTTTCTGTTTAATATGAGTGTTATTGTTCTATATAAATCATTTCTAACAGGGACACATACGTTGTTGCTAATGAATTAGTTCTCAACCATAATGTATTTATTTTGTCCACAGGAGAGAACAGCAAGCTGTCCTTTTAATGGATCATCAGTAAAAAAATCTTTGTTTCTGGGAAATGAGAGGGTTAGAGATCTTATTTTCCTTATTTTAAGAGTAAGACCACTCGCACAACTTCTCAGTTTAAGAGAAAGTAGTCTGGTCCCGGAGTTGGAAATGAAGCAGTGTTTTAGTTTTTCAGTTTTTATTTTTAAAAAATGGTAAAAAATAACATAGTCATTAAAGATAGTAACTTATTTTTATTATGCTGTTTAAAGAAATTGTGTCTTTTGGAAGATTATTTTGCCAATTATTAATCTTAGATTAAGGTACACATTCAGCTCAATAAAGTGACCAAAATACTTTAAATGACTGAGTTTTCACTGTTTGTAATAAGAACAACTTGTTTTTATTTTTCGACATTCTTTCTAGTTTTACAGCCCATTACAGTCTTTCAGTGGTAAGATTATTTTGCTACTTTTAAGAATTCTAGCAAAGCTAAACTGGCTTACCCCATTGGCAGATTGTTTTGCTCAATACAAGAAAATGTGATTATATTTAAGAATATCTGGCTTGTTTCTAGAGGGGTTGTGTTTGCAGTGATCTTATTTATTCTGAGGAGCCTGTCTAACCTAAAGGTCTAAAACACAGCTAAAATAAACATGATTTTACATTGCACATATAAAAATAGTTTACATGAAGAAGGTATCTTTTCTACTTAATAACAGTAATACTTATTAAATATAAGCATGCTTGTTAATGCATTTCATTTGATAAGAGATACCTTCCCAGAATCTGTATGTAATCCAGGGTCTATTGACACAATGACCACCTTGTGACAATACTGGTGTTGAAATGTATCCAAATTAGTTGTTTTTATTTGTCATTTCCTTTGATGCTGATTTTTTAATCAACAATTATGATGTTGTGCATTTAAAATCAGGTCCCACCGAGATTTGAACTCGGATCGCTGGATTCAGAGTCCAGAGTGCTAACCATTACACCATGGAACCGCCTTGACCATCTGGTTTCTACATCAAAACGCTACAATGACGTCAAGGTTTTAACAGGTTACACTGAAAGTGTTTGAGGGACATAGATATGAGTAAACACATTATTATTTAGGATTAAACTTTAACCGACTAATTTCTATATTAAAACACCTGTGACACTCCCACATTGCGTGTAAGTTCCTAACTAGTTAGAAACACATTGATGGTGTAAAACAAGCAACAAAACCTTTGAAGAACCCTTTCTGTTTAATATGAGTGTTATTGTTCTATATAAATCATTCCTAACAGGGACACATACGTTGTAATAAGCAGCTCCAGGTATAATGGTTTGTCTTTTACCAGGTGAAATGTCTAAAACTGCTCTTTCCCTATAACTAAAGGCAGTTTCCACTCATAAACATACAGGATTAAATGACCTCTACGGTCACAGCAGGTGACGCTGTAGCCATGGCAACAGTCCATTCCAGTCCGTGGCGGACAGGTAGCTGAAGAAGAGTGCGCAAAATGACATCCATACAAGAGGAAATCTTTAAATGTGTGCTGTCCGGGGACCTGGGGGCCATTAAGGAGCACTTTGAATGTGAGGGTGCCGCCGAGGAGCCGCAGGAAAAGGACTGGTTCGGACTGAAGGACGAGGGGGGCAGAAATGCCCTGTTAACTGCCTGCATGCTGGGCAGGAGCGCCATCGTCCGAGAGCTGGTCAGAAACGGAGCCCAGGTCGACGAGCACACTGTCAGGGGTGAGTGAGTGGGAAACACGGTCCACCGGGTAACTGTTCAGTTCGAAGTAACGTTAACGTTAGGTTAAAGTGGGGTAACAAATAAAGAGGAAGAACAGGCTCAAGCCAGGAAACCTCGACGACATTAAAGGTCCAGTGTGACACATTGTGGCTGCAGTGTATAAAACCCATGTTAAAGCTGCAGTAGGTAACTTTTCTAAAAATAACTTTTTGTTATATTTGCTGAAACTTTCACTTTATCCTGACAGTAGAACGTGAGACAGATAATGTGTGAAACAATCAGGTTCCTCTGGCTCCCCCTAGTGCTCCTAATGGCATTTACAAGAATCCACCGGGCCTGAATGAAAACAACCAATAGGATCCCTAAGAGGAGCCAGAGGAACCTTTTCACAGATTATCTGTCTCATACAACAAATACAACAAAAAGGTACTTTTAGAAAACTTACATCCTGAGAGTGAGACTATTTTGGTTTCATTTTTACACAGTGGGAGGAAGTGGAGACTCAACGGCCATCTTTTATATGTTGATATTCACAGCCATCCTCACTCACAGGTCATCAAATACAGACTCCAAATACTCATTCAATGTTTTTTTATTGAAAGTCTATTAAATTGGTCAATGTTCATGTGTCTACAGAGGAAGGAAGGTGTGTGTGTGTGTGTGGATACGTATATGTATCTACATGTACTGTATATTCATCTGTGTGTATTTGTGTGTATATCTGTGCTCTCACCTGAACAAATTCTACTTAATTAATTAATATAACAGTTAATTAATTACATTAAACTAAAAGTAGGAGACTATATTTCTCCAGCCACTGTCCTCACAGTTGAAGAGATTCACCTGTGTCCGGCCTCAGTCTGACGCTCTTGGCCCTGCAGGTTATTCGTCCCTGCACCTCGCTGCGTGCTGGGGTCACCTGGAGACAGTGAGGACTCTGCTGGAACTGGGAGCTGACACACAGGCCAAGACCTTCAGAGGGGAGAGGCCTGTAGAGCTGGCCAGGCGGTACTCTAAGACGGACTGTGCTGACTGTCTCATCCTGGCCGGTGTGTGGAGCTGTGTTCTGGCATTATATCTGGCAACCTTTGATTAGTAAAGATATTTATTCTTAACCTGCGTGCGTGTGTTTCATCTCTGTGCAGAAGCTAAACAGGACTTGATGTCATATTTAGATTTTGTTAAAGACCTCATCTCAGACGCAGAGAGGAACCTAACAAAGGAGGAAAAGGTAACATTTCTTTACATCAGGATTCACCAGGTTTCATTTATTAATATAGACCTTTTAGATGAATGATTATTGCATTTTATTAACTGAGCTAGTGTCTGCACAGAACACATTCCTTCCTCACAATATGTGAATATCAACGTGCTAACCATTCAATTACAGTTGCCCTCATTAACTCAACTTCTTCCCTGTGTTTCTCCTGTAAATGTCTGCACAGAACATCTGTACACGTGTTTGTTCTGCCAAGTCAGACTGGATTCAGAGCGTCCAACATTCAACAGTGTCAGACTTCATAGCCCAAAGGAAAGACATAGAGGACACTCTTCAGCCTATTCTCAGCAAGCTGTCAGCTCAGTGTGAGTGTCATTAACATCACTGTAACTACTGTGGACTGAGTTTGTGGTTGCTAATGAATTAGTTCTCAACCATAATGTATTATTTTGTCCACAGGAGAGAGCAGCAAGCTGTCCTTTTAATGGATCATCACTGCACAGAGGAATGTCAAGAGTAAAAAAAATCTTTGTTTCTGGGAAATTAGTCTTATTTTTTGAAAAATAATCTCGTCAATCATGTTTTGCATTAGAAAAGTGATCTGGTCTTAAGAAAATCTATCTAACTTTGTCTTAATAAGATGATATTACACCTAATATTGAGCTTGATTTAACCAGCTCAGATCGCTGGATTCAGAGTCCAGAGTGCTAACCATTACACCATGGAACCGCGCTCACACGTCAGTGCTGTAGGTGGGAAAGGTCATGAACACACCAATGACAACCCTGACATTGTTTGAGGGACGCAACAAAAACACTGCACAGCTAAAATAAACATGATTTTACATTGCACATATAAAAATTGTTTACATGAAGAAGGTGTCTTTTCTACTTGATTACAGTAATGCTTATTAAATATGACCATGCTTATTAATGCATTTCATTTGATAATAGATACCTTCCCAGAATCTTATGTAGTCCTGGGTCTATTGACACAGTGACCATCTTGTGACGATACTGGTGTTGAAATGTATCCAAATTACTTGTTTATATTTGTCACTTCCTTTGATGCTGATTTATTAATCAACAATTATTACATTTAGCATTTAAAATCAGGTCCCACCGAGATTTGAACTCGGATCGCTGGATTCAGAGTCCAGAGTGCTAACCATTACACCATGGAACCGCCTTGACCCTGTTGATTCTACATCAAAACGCTACAATGGCGTCAAGGTTTCAACAGGTTACGCTGAAAGTGTTTGAGGGACATAGATATGAGTAAACACATTATTATTTAGGATTAAACTTTAACCGACTAATTTCTAGGTTAGGGATCTCATTTTCCTTATTTTAAGAGTAAGACCACTCGCACAACTTCTCAGTTTAAGAGAAAGTAGTCTGGTCCCGGAGTTGGAAATGAAGCAGAGTTTTAGTTTTCCAGTTTTAATTTTTAAAAAATGGTAAAAAATAACATAGTCATTAAAGATAGTAACTTATTTTTATTATGCTGTTTAAAGAAATTGTGTCTTTTGGAAGATTATTTTGCCAATTATTAATCTTAGATTAAGGTACACATTCAGCTCAATAAAGTGACCAAAATACTTTAAATGACTGAGTTTTCACTGCTTGTAATAAGAACAACTTGTTTTTATTTTTCGACATTCTTTCTAGTTTTACGGCCCATTACAGTCTTTCAGTGGTAAGATTATTTTGCTACTTTTAAGAATTCTAGCAAAGCTAAACTGGCTTACCCCATTGGCAGATTGTTTTGCTCAATACAAGAAAATGTGATTATATTTAAGAATATCTGGCTTGTTTCTAGAGGGGTTGTGTTTGCAGTGATCTTATTTATTCTGAGGAGCCTGTCTAACCTAAAGGTCTAAAGCACAGCTAAAATAAACATGATTTTACATTGCACATATAAAAATAGTTTACATGAAGAAGTTATCTTTTCTACTTAATAACAGTAATACTTATTAAATATAAGCATGCTTGTTAATGCATTTCATTTGATAAGAGATACCTTCCCAGTATCTGTATGTAATTGAGGGTCTATTGACACAATGGCCATTTACATATTGAAACGTATCCAAGTTAGTTTGTCATTTGTTATTATTTGTCATTTCCTCATTTCCTTTGATGCTGATTTTTTAATCAACAATTATGATGTTTAGCATTTAAAATCAGGTCCCACCGAGATTTGAACTCGGATCGCTGGATTCAGAGTCCAGAGTGCTAACCATTACACCATGGAACCGCCTTGACCCTGTTGATTCTACATCAAAACGCTACAATGGCGTCAAGGTTTCAACAGGTTACGCTGAAAGTGTTTGAGGGACATAGATATGAGTAAACACATTATTATTTAGGATTAAACTTTAACCGACTAATTTCTAGGTTAGGGATCTCATTTTCCTTATTTTAAGAGTAAGACCACTCGCACAACTTCTCAGTTTAAGAGAAAGTAGTCTGGTCCCGGAGTTGGAAATGAAGCAGAGTTTTAGTTTTCCAGTTTTAATTTTTAAAAAATGGTAAAAAATAACATAGTCATTAAAGATAGTAACTTATTTTTATTATGCTGTTTAAAGAAATTGTGTCTTTTGGAAGATTATTTTGCCAATTATTAATCTTAGATTAAGGTACACATTCAGCTCAATAAAGTGACCAAAATACTTTAAATGACTGAGTTTTCACTGCTTGTAATAAGAACAACTTGTTTAAATTTTTCGACATTCTTTCTAGTTTTACGGCCCATTACAGTCTTTCAGTGGTAAGATTATTTTGCTACTTTTAAGAATTCTAGCAAAGCTAAACTGGCTTACCCCATTGGCAGATTGTTTTGCTCAATACAAGAAAATGTGATTATATTTAAGAATATCTGGCTTGTTTCTAGAGGGGTTGTGTTTGCAGTGATCTTATTTATTCTGAGGAGCCTGTCTAACCTAAAGGTCTAAAGCACAGCTAAAATAAACATGATTTTACATTGCACATATAAAAATAGTTTACATGAAGAAGTTATCTTTTCTACTTAATAACAGTAATACTTATTAAATATAAGCATGCTTGTTAATGCATTTCATTTGATAAGAGATACCTTCCCAGTATCTGTATGTAATTGAGGGTCTATTGACACAATGGCCATTTACATATTGAAACGTATCCAAGTTAGTTTGTCATTTGTTATTATTTGTCATTTCCTCATTTCCTTTGATGCTGATTTTTTAATCAACAATTATGATGTTTAGCATTTAAAATCAGGTCCCACCGAGATTTGAACTCGGATCGCTGGATTCAGAGTCCAGAGTGCTAACCATTACACCATGGAACCATCTTGCGCCCAAATGTTCAACAACAAAATGATAGAACGACGTCAATGTTTTAACAGGTTACACTGAAAGACACAAACACATTATTATTTAGGATTAAACTTAAACTAATTTCTATATTAAAACACCTGCGACACTCCCACATTGCGTGTAAGTTCCTAACTAGTTAGAAACACATTGATGGTGTAAAACAAGCAACAAAACCTTTGAAGAACCCTTTCTGTTTAATATGAGTGTTATTGTTCTATATAAATCATTCCTAACAGGGACACATACGTTGTAATAAGCAGCTCCAGGCAGGGCTCCAGACTAACGGTTTGCACTGGTTGCACTGCTGTGCCTAACTTTTATTTTTTTAGGTGCACCAGCACAAAATTTAGGTGCACCCAAATTTTTCATTGCGTTGCCTTTAACGCCATAAGGTCACCTTTTTACCGCTCTCCATAACTTTCATATAATGTGAATGATTTTTAAACGAGAATAAGGTGTAGAGAAATGCTTGTCTTTATTTGAAGCACAATTATATATAAAAATAAAAGTGTTTAAAGTGGTGAGCTGAACTGAAATTGAACATTTCAAACTCAAACATTTCAAGTAAAATAATTATTAATGATAATAATGATGATTACTGCTACCTGCCGCTGAAATGCAGCTGGGAGAGGGGCCACTTTCTCTACACACACTGTCACAGCATATCGTGTGTTTTTTAGACATGTTGTGTTTTTTTAAAGTTTCGATACGAAACGTTGTTGACCCGCTCACGAACGCACTATTTCCGGCCATATTCTGACTGACTGCTGACAGTACACGCAGTGCATTGCGTTACGTCCTTTGTTGTACCTCAGCCAGGGAAATAGTTTCAGCCAGTCCTGTCTGAAGGAATATGTTTTGACCTTTTTAATTTGGGTCTCGGAGCCGGGCTCTATCCCAGACTGGGTTGTCTCCTCCTCTGGTTCCGAGTCTGATGCTGTCGCTGAAGGACCGGGGCTTGGTCATTTTTTAAACACACACAGCTTAGCGCGGTGAACAGGACCACAGCCAATCAGAGGCAAAGACCCGCCCGAGCTCTGTCTCTTATTGGTTTAGAACACGATATGATCCTACCATGAGTGTGTGAGTTCGGTTACAGGAGAACACAGAGAGATGATGCGCTTGCGAAATAAATTGTGTTATGTGTTCACCCGGGCAGCGTCAGGTGCACCAGTGCGACCTAGAAAAATTATAAGTCGCACTCTTAAAAAATTTGAGTGCACTCTGGAGCCCTGCCAGGTATAATGGTTTGTCTTTTACCAGGTGAAATGTATAAAACTGCTCTGTCCCTATAACTAAAGGCAGTTTCCACTCATAAACTAAAGAAATAAGAACTCTGACCGTTACCATACAGGAATAAATGACCTCTACGGTCTAAAGGGCTAAAGCAGAGGCAGATCTGTGCAATGTCAGCGCCTCAATAAATGCAAAAGAGGCTAATGGTTTTCTGTGTATAAATATTTGGAAATTAATTTGTAGATCAGTTTAAATTATGGGTCACTTCAACCGCCTTCTACAGTAAGAGCAAAGGAGACATAGCCCATACCATCATGCACACTGATGTTTTATTGGAAATTCACAGCAGAAGTAGGATGAGAAAGAAGCTGCCCAACAACCTGGTTATCAAACACAGCCAGTTCGCACGCAGTAACCCGTCAACCCACACAGAACAGCCATATAACAGCACGGTACATGGCAGGATAACCTATATAACCGCCATTGCACTGCCAAACTGAAGATTATTGCCCGTCCTTATTGCCTTTGCATGCTGCTGCCATGTATCAGTGGTTAGAGGCCGATAGAGGAGCCACTTTAACCACACAACTGCTTTTCATGTCGGCCATTTCAGCCATTACCCTCTCTCTCTCAACACACAGAGACCAACGGAAGACATTGTCCACACAGTATTAAAAACATTTACCAAAGTGGCTGCTGGACTTTTTTTTACACCTCAGTTGATTTGAAAGCCTACAATTGATTTTCTTTTGTCACCGTGGGTTGAACCAGAAACAAATCAGTTAAGAGAGGTAGGGAGAGTACCTTAAGCATGCAGAAAAAACTAAATCAGAAATTGGTAGAAAATGGAAAAGATCACCTTCAAGTATTTCAATCTCCAAATGTTTATGGACATTAACACAGTTTTGGACTGAAGCCTTGCAGTTGAATGCTGACCTGGAACAAGTCATATCTGTACCTGAGGACGGAAGCATATCTATGTTCCCAGGGTCCTAAGTTCCCTAAACCTAACCCTAGAACTGGGGAACACAGGAATGACCCCCTTTCCAACAACTCACACCGCTGCTAGTTTCTCCACTGACAGGAGATGGTAACTGACAGTGGCAGCCATGTTGGCTTGTGTTGCTGAAGGCTTGAGTGATCCTTAAGGAACTAGTAGCTGTGACACTAGTGAGGACACTTGAGTCAATTTGTCCCTCTGCAGTAGTACTCCCCAACACGTGTAAACAGGCTTCAATGTGTAAAATGAGTTCCCCTTTAATCATTATCTCTTATTCACTAAACTAGTTCTTTCACACAGTAAACAATGAGCACAATCCAAGTGTAAGGGAGGATACAATATTCATGTGTCCACCCAAACGTAACATAGTACCAATGTGATTTCCAAGTCACTGTGATGCCATTTAAATTGCTATTGCCACATTACCCTTGCATATAAACCCCCATCATTACCATAGCAACATCCGCAGAAACATACTGAGTGCTGTGGCTAACAGCGTCATCCTGGGACAATGTTGTCTTGTGCAGATCAAAGGCACTCAAGTCATATAACTGACATTTAGCACATGAACCCCTAACCTGTAATAGGTGTAACAGAGACTGAAAGCTGTCCTCTGTTGCTTCCTTGAGTCAAGCTGTCCCCTTTTTAAAGCGATCCCTACACCACCCAGAGCTGGCAGAACATGTAGAAACATTTCACCTCTACACACATTTTTTTTTCTATCTATACAAGGTTATCAATTATACAAAGGCTGCTGAGACAAACTGGACATTAAACAAGTCATTTGTAAGTGTATCTTCTCCAAGACACTGACATGAGCTCGCATTTTGCTTATCGGGTTTTCCCACCATTTAACACACAATACAAATATTGGCTGTTGAGCTGACAGTTTAAACAGACTGACACAAAGAAAGACCAACAGCAGTCTGCAGAGACGCTGACATTTTCAGAAGGGGAAATGTTAAAGAGCAGTGGTTCCCAACCTTCATCCTTGAGGGACACCTTCTCTATCATTTAGTAAACTGACAACCCCTGACTCAGTGACATGTTTTATGGATTTTTTATATTATATTCAAAACTGTACAATGAACCCAGAAAGTGAATTCAGTAACTGCAAGAAGTTTGTGTAAAGAGAGTGATCAGGATGCATTCAGGGAAGATTATTTCCTGTTCAGGGAAGTTTTTTTAAAACAATTATGTCTGTATTATTATCTTTAACAATCATACAGACTTAATAGGCTTAATTTAGTGTTTTCTTGTCCTTGATGCTTTGCTTCACAGAAGTGAACCAAACACTGAGATAAAGGCCTACTGTGAAGTTTTTTTTAGCAAAATTAAGAAGGCCTTGTGACCCCCCCATGAAGTTTTGGCGACCCCCAGGTTGGGAACCACTGTTTTAGAGGTCCAGTTTAATTAAAATACAAAACCATGCAAGTACATGTGTATTTAAAAAGTGTACACTCCAGTCTCTTAACTGAATTTGAGTAGTACCAGGGGGTCATTTTTGCATCCATTAGGATAGGCTACAGTACAATATTCAGTGGCAGAAACCATTTTGAAACAGGGAGGAGGAAATGCACCAGTCCAGCTCAGGTTAAGTTTCATTCCAGACTTATTAAACTCAGTCTACATGACATTTTCCAGGGTCTGGTTGTTTGAACTTCCATTTAATTCTTGGTGATGTGACACTATTAAAACCCAAATGCTCTTCTTCTGTAGGCCCATTTGGCAGAGCGGTCAGTTTTAAAGTTATGAATGAGACTGTACATATCGGATGGGTCTTGTTTTTGTACATTGTTCCAACTGCAATCCAGTCTTTAGTCTGGTTTCACGGGACCTGTTAGTAGATTCTCTTCTCTTAACTCTTAATGCAACAGACACTGTTTGTACTGGAGAGGTGAGACTGTGAAGGTGCTTAATGACATGCATTTACAGAATGTTGAGGAGGATAAAGACCAACAGAGGCAACTTCAAGCCATTGAACATTAGATTAAACCTCTGCTCATCAGGGATAAGGTTCATTAAACACTTTCCCATCATCCTCCATCTCTGTCCTTGCACTCCCTACCAGCAACCTGTGCAGCAACCCTTGAACCCTACTGCTCAGCGAACATACTGTGCTATGTTTGTGTGTAACCTCTTATAACAGGAAAGTAAAGGAAACATCAATCACGGCATGTCCACACAGTGCCTGAGAACAGGTTTAAACAGGCAAAAATCTGTCTCAGACAAAAGCCGATAACATGGAAACAAAACTTTTCCTTCAATTTTCCCTTTGACCATTTAAAGGACCAGTGTGTAGGATATAGTGGTATCTAGGGTCCAGGCATCCCTTACTGGGCTACTGAAACATGGTGGTTCAACATGGCGGTCTCTGTAGAAGAGGACCCGCTCCCTCTGTAGATAAAAACAGCTCATTCTGAGGTAACAAAAACATTCTTATTTTTAGCTGATTATACACTAATAAAACATACCTATGAATATTTTTTTCATTACTGGCAGTAGATCCTCCTAAATGTTACACACTGGACATTTATTTTGATTTAATTATACTGAAACATTCTTTTCTGCCTGTTTGGCTGCAACATAATTAGTAACTTAGTAAAAGTGATCCCTGGGTCATGCCATGACTTGGGAAATAATATAGTCTATAAATAAATGTACTACTGTTTTAAGTTGGACTACTTTAGATTATTTTCTAATGCTAACATTATCAACTAACATTGAATTTGTAGTGGGGTTCATCATTTTTTCTATCACTGTAATGACCTTCTAGTGGAGCGGACACCCCCATGATTATAGTATTCACTGCACACAATCGAAAGTTGAATGCTCCATCTCTGTGCTCACCTCAGATTTGAAGACAGTGAGAAGTGAATTGTTGTGGCATAATGGTGCTGGTGAACAGAGGGTTTGTTGATCTAATCCGATCCAATGGCCAGTAAACCCAAATTACACTGATTGTAAATGCCACAGAGGCTCATCGTGCCTTACAGCCTCAAATAATGATAGGTGGTCAGTTCACTAACTGTGTTTTCTCTGGAATATCGTGATGAAGATGGGACTTGATATGATAGAAAGATGTTGTCAGTCACTCCTCAGGTTGTGTTGCAATGTTCAGAATTGTGCTCCTTAGTTTGACATTTGACATTAGAGTCACCCTGTTGTCCTCTGAATCTGAAGGGACTCGGGGAGGGCAACTGTAGTCCCGTGTTCACTGTCAGTGTGTTTGTGTGTGTTTGTGCGCGATGTACTGTATCTCCTCGCTGCATGTGTGTATGCATGTCCAGGAGTGTGTGTGTTCAGAGCCATTCTGTCAGCCATTGCAGTTTCCAGTGGCAGCCATGTTGGTTCCACAGTCTTGCTCCGTGGCCCATGCCGGTGACAGTGACTCCAATCTATCTGATGGCAGATGTTTGGTGTCTCACGCAGGCCTATTATTATTTATTATTTAGTTATATAAAAAGGGCCGGCACATATTGCCCTCACCACAACCTGACCAAACCAGCAATGGCTCTGTGTTTGTCTCTCAGTGCTTTTCAGGGTCCCAGTTTGGTAGTTTTTCCAGTAAGGCCTTGTGGTCCACACCAACACTGGCCACCAGTCCTCCTTTGTTGACTGGTGTTCCGCTGTAGTCGATGTCCTCTCCTTTTAGGGTTGTCATCTGGCCTCCTGCAACCATGATTACATGTCATTGGTACAGTGCACTTCAACCATTAAGAATTCATTTCAGAGACAATAACCACAGTCGCTGGATAAGTAAAAATACAATAGCAATTAGCATTTCTGTTTATGTCTGTGTCTTTTTGTGGTGCAAGATATGTTATATGCATATTTTCTGTTAAAGTCTTGACAGTTTTGGTTATTTCATGAGAGATGTCTGTGTTCTCAGTTGGAAAAAAAGTGATATCAATCACTGATCAGGGTTTATTTCATTGTCATTTAAATCTGACCAAAACAAAACTAACCAGTCCTGATGAAGCAGATTAGAGTTTCTGAATGTTTAACTCTTAATAAATTATATGCAAGAATGTTCCAATTTTAAATTTGACTGTTGCTTATTTAGCTGAAACCAATATTCAGGAGCTTCAAATGGCTAAATGTAGTCCAATGTGAAATGTAGTCCAATACGCAAAAGCCAAAAGGGATTTTTGAATAGAATTTGAAACTGAGAGGGAAACCAAACAATGGAAGATAATGGTTGATACATTACCCAGTGCATTCAGTAGTGCAGCACCAGCACAGATATCCCATTTCTTAATAATGGTGATGTGCATGTAAACATCTGCCTGGTCTATAAGAGCTGTTTCACTTGAAGGCATCTCCAAAAGTGACAGGACCTTATACCCTGAGAGAGAGAGAGAGAGAGAGAGAGAGAGAGAGAGAGAGAGAGAGAGAGAGAGACCAATGAGTCAATATGATTTGTTTCTTCTTTATCACACTAGTGCTATAAATGCTCATATCTAGTCCTTAAATTATGATTATATTGGCATAATCCTCGTTGCTGCCTGTAACAGAGAGAATGCTGTAGCTGGCTGCCCTCCCTCAGCTTTACAGGAGTTCTGCTCACTTTGTGCTGCTGATGCATTTTGTAAAATGTAGTGTAAACGCTGGTAGATGCTGACAGTCTTTTTGGTGATGGATGCATTTGATTGTGGTAATTTAACAATGTCTGAAAACCACATTACTAATGATTTATTGATGTTATAATGTAACAAATATATTTCATAACTTGTGATAAATCTTGTGTCATGTGTGGCTTTAAAACTGAAAATATTTTCATGGACAAATATCCTAACAGGAAAAGCACGGGTGACCAGAGAGTGGACAGTTCGATGGGCAGGCAGGATAAATATGGGCTGGGAAAGTGAAAAAACTGTGTTAGCTCCTACCTCATTACCACCACCGAGATGCCCTTTGGCAAGGCCCTTAACCCCAACTGTTGACCAGCAGGTCAGACTGGGCAGCTTCCAGGTGTGAATGTGTGTACTGTATGAGTGTGGTCAGGGCATTCCTGCAAATGAGAGCTGGGCTCTGAGTGAAGCTTTCCTCAATAAATAAAAAGGTTTAAAATTGTTCTATTCAGGAGTCCCAGTAAGCCACACTAGTGAGCCAGAATCAGGGTTCCCACTCTTTTTAAGAAATCCTTTTCCAGGAGTTTTTCTTGACAATGCAGGACAGCACTTGCTTACAATGGTGGTCAGTGTTTATGGAACAGGCTTTGGCTTGGCTGTTCTCAGCACAGCAGATTTTGCACTGCAGCCTCAGCAGAGCATAAATAACCCTTCAAATCAAGCAGAATTTATTTCATTTCACAGATAATTAGCCTATTAAAAGAAGAGGTAGGAGGTATATTTTATCATCCACAAAAAGAAATGTAAATTTGATCATTAAATATAGTCTGTATACATGCATATACGACCATCTACACAGCATTTCCAGAACAGACTTGACGCCCAAAGCGTGTTGCAAGCGGCGTGAACAGCTGACATGGGAGCCGAAATTAAATGTTCCACTTTGCATCTGGTAAACCCGCTCTGAAGTGTCACACCACGCAGCTTATCCTAGCAACAGTCAAGTTTCAAAAAAGTATTTAATTTCCAGGATATTTGGTCATTTTAATCAATTATCAGTTGTTTCCATGACTGGAAAACTAGTCTCTAAATTTGTCTTTCAGATACTCCAGGACGCATGGGAACCTTGCAGAACGCACAATACCAATGATATGGCACAACTCAAACTAAAAGGAATGCAGCCTTTGTTAATGTTATTAATAACCCCTGTGACAGGAGAAAAGCACTGTAACACTGTGGGCTTCTTTCATCCTTTAAACCAGTCAAATTTCACTAATGCATAACACTGCATGCCACTGCTGCCCAGTTATTTATTGTCAGACTGTTGGTACAAAATGCAAGTTGCAACATTTAGCTAGCTAGTGGGAAAAAACTGGCAAGTAAGGTGACATATGGCTAAAATGGTGAAACATCATCAAAACACTTCAGGAAAAAAAGTCAAAATAAAAAGCTGTGGCAGAGCCGCATTTCAAACTCAGACTCAAGTAGCGATTTAACCCTGCAAGGTCTTATCTGACACTTCAGACCACAAAAAAAGAGAAGGAAATAGTGACAATAGCAGACTATGAGGCCACAGCGAAAGACTGTATGAGAAGTTCCAATTATGACCGTGTGCACATTCATCAGGAGGAAAAATGTGACCTGAGATGTGAAAATGCTGACAAACTTTCAAACGGACTCCACTCACCTGCTCCACCTGCTCCTATGACCGCTGTGCCGTTTCCAAAAGCATCCTGAACGAAACCTTTCACTTTCCCAGCGTGGGAGCGTGACACAATCACCTTCGGAGGGTTGACACTGTAGGATGACCTGGCATGCATATTGGACCCCTGACCTACAAGAGCCCACGCTGGGGGAGGGACAGAACGGAGACAGAGAGACAAAGGGAGTGGAGGATGATAGAAGTTCAATACATATTATGTTGTAGACCAACATCTCATCTATTACAGCTATAGAAAGCACGTTACAATTTCTTCCCCCAAATAGCAATGAGGCAGGATTTGTGACCCATTATGCAAAAATAAGGGGACACATAGATCCTATGGCTTCAACAGGAAGTTTTCTAGAAAACGCAGAAGTCATAGACTAAGTTATGTCAACCAAAATGTTAGCTTATTATTCAAAAAGGCTATTTTGGAAGCCTCAATCAGAGTCTAACAATGTAAGATTCAAAATGTGAAGGCGCCTAGTTTACACTTACCAGTGAACCCAGTGAAGGGCTGGTGTATCACCCCAATGACCGGTTTACCATCTACAGCCACACATACCATTGTGGTCACATACTTCACCAGATTCTCTGTGGAGGGAGCAAAACAGAGGGAGGGCAGAGTTCAGAAGAGAGATGGAATAAGATAGCAGAGACAAGCCAGAGGGTACAGAGAGAGAGAGAGAGAGAGAGAGAGAGAGAGAGAGAGAGAGAGAGAGAGAGAGAGAGAGAGAGGTTACAGGATATCGGAGGGAACAGGGAAAATGAATCAGACCAGTGGAGAGATGTGTCAGCATGTCTGTAACGTGTGGAAATCCTGATCTGTCCATACTCGTGTCCTAAAAAGCTGCATGTTGTTTTATATGAATAAATGATACTGTACAAGTGTTAGAACACATTTACCTCCTGGTCCAACCGGGTTTTACAGGTTCATATGAAATAAGGAACACTCCCATACCTTTCAACAACTACCAGTGAGGTTCTCTAAGACAGTGGTTCCCAATCCCAGGAACACAGAGCAGTACCGGGCTATGGGGTAACCCCATATGATTCAGCCAAAAAAAACCCCAAACTATTATATATTTATAACATATATTATAATTACATAATTGTACAGGCTACCATGGACAGGGTAATAGGACAGGACATAATGTTCAAGCACTTCCAAGGGACCTAAACCAAAAACCAGACTCTGTAAGCCTTTATCATCAAATCTAACTTGTTAGTATAAATGCAATTGTAAAAAATAAAGTTTACAGAACGCCTTCATACCCAGAGCAATCAGTGTATTTTGACATTTTACCAGCTGTTCATATTAACTTGGATTGTAGGTTTTGATGATGATTATTTAATGCTTTCTAATTTCCAGAGTACCAGCTAAACAGAGGACATATCTAGCTTTGAATGTGAGTAAACATGCCAGGAAACAACAAACAAAAGGTTTACACAAGTGTTTATGTAGATGAAACACCAGATTATGTTGAAAATCGAGCATTTTTCAAGGAGTATATTCAAATTCAAGCTTATTCCTGACCTTGAAATCACTGAAAGCATTTTCAACACTTTGTACGAACCCTGCATAGACCATTTGTGATCTAATTATCTGGAACTACAGGAGGTCAGATATAAACGAGGTGATCAGTCTGTAATTACCCACAACACTAATCAATATGCATCTTACCATTTGAACTAGTTATTTAACAAGAGTAAAAAACAAAAACAAGTTGTGTCAGAGGATCTAGGGATGAGAAAAGGCCTAACGTATGTGCTGTAATAGCCCAAACATAAAAAAATAAAGGACTTTTAACTTTCAGCTCATCAAGTGTAACCACTAATATAGTGAAGCGTTAATTTGACCTGCGTCCACTCCACCCTAGTATTTCCAGGTCATTTCTGTGAAGACCGCCTAACAAACACCTGAACAACAGAGAGACTGCTAAACTATCTTCTGACAAAAGTGCACACCTTGGCCAACATCTGCTAGGAAGTGGGACACGGCCCTGCTATCCAGAACATTATTTTATGATCTCGACATCGTCCGACAAATCTACATCAATACAGATTAATGACAACAGCTGCGTGACAGACCACATGCATTTTTACTTCTTCTTTATGCTGTCAGACTACAGAACAAGTACAAAATAGTCATTTAATGAAGACTTGTAAATACTGCATGTTAACCAGCATGCTGCTGCACAGCGGTGATAAAAATCTATATTTTATGATTGCGACTCTGACATAATTTACATAAATCCATGTTTAATGACAACAGCTCTGTTGTGCATTCAGCTGTATTGTCATTTGGAATTATGATCACAGAGAGGGTGGAGGAGGAGAAGGCGACAGAAAGCCCTTCTAACTTTACTCACAGCCCCCACCCTCATTTAGCAGCTTACATCATCATTTTGCAAAACTTCTGTTTACCCCCATACACACTGAAACGCTGAGCCTGTGTTTTTATACATAATAATGATAAACACTATCATATAGTTTATACACTCAGACAAGAAAAGTTCAGTTTTTGGCTGGAAAAATGCGAAAGAGGGCTGAAAAGGAAAGACAAATATGTGTTTACAAACTGAACTGGCTGAATGTGGACATACTGTCAGTGGCTGACAGAGTAAACAGGAGCTGTACTGGGCAGCTCCCGGCTGTATGAGATTAACTGGATCAGTGTTGAGAGGGAGTTGCTGCAAAAGGACCATGGACGTTCAGCCAATTTTCCATAGATAATGGTAGAACAAACACACACAAACATACCTTGGACAAACAAGTGTGGCCACCGAACCTCATATCCATTCACGCTTCTTTTAAACTGAGCTCGACATTTTACAACGTGCACTACACCGAGTCCCATCAGCTTAATCTGTGAAGACAAATCGAAGCCCAACGAGGCACCTCCCTGACAGGTGGACATACTGTTGTCCAAGATGTCATCTAAAATGACTTAACTTCAGTAACATGCACACCTGTATATTCCTGTGTAGCGTCGAGAGGGTCGATCCACACAGTGATGCTCTCAGCAGGAACGTCATTGCCCCCCTTTACATTTTTGAGTATGTCTGCTGGAATTTCCCGGCTCCAGGTTGCCTTGTCCACCACGTTGTCATGTTCCTCGCTGTACACCTGAAAGCAAACACATGCAGACAGAAGTATGGGTCCTCTGCCTTAGAACGTATTCAGACTACATTGGGCATGTTGATTTGTGCTTTAGAACTTCACCGCTGCGAAACAATCAGAAAATAGCGTTTCCTTTCTCTGATTCATTGGCCGTCTCGCTACCAGGGCTCTCTCTCCTCATTCAATCTCTATGTCGAGAACACAACTGGGAGAGTGTTATAGTTTGGTCCATGAACCAGCGCCTGTTTTAGAGAAATTTCAGGCTGAAGCAGTTTGTCTGGTTTTACTGCCGGATTCCGTTTCTCCAAAAGCTGATTCTGTTTCAACGTCTATGGCACAGGTACAATGCACTGCCCCCATTCAAAATGAGAAGGAGGACTGATCGGCCCATAGGCTTGTTTTAAACTTTAAACAGTATGTGAAGGCATCTCACAGAAAAGCTTTCCTGTCTTTGCAGTCCGACTCAGATCTAACTGAATCAAATACAGGACTGATGAGACCACTGCAGCTTTCGGTCACATCCAACATCAGATTAAAGCCTCGGTTCCGTGGTTTCTCGCTTTGCTGCTAGTTCATGATAGTTTCTAGTTTGTGATTTACTTGTTGTGATTAGTGAAAATGGTCACAATTTAGTTTTTTCATCCTTCATCAACTAAATAGGTGCTGGTATTGTATAACATCACTAAAGTTTCTGCAGTAAACAATTAATGACTGGAACAAACGCAGTACAATGGCTACAGTGGCTGTGCTCACCGTGACTTCAGGGAAGGTATTCTTTAAGAGGTTAAACATCTTTCTGTGAGACTGCAGGTCCCCCATAGTCAGAGGCTCATTGGCTCCCTCCTTTGTCTTGCCCTTTGACTTCTCCTTCAGGCTGTTGTCATCACGCACTGTCTTCACCTGGGGAGGAAAAACAAAAACGGAGAGTTTACCAGATGTCCCCAACCTGTGGTTCCTTTAGAGACTGTAGTTAAACTAACACTTTCACAACAATGTCAGGTTGCATTGAAGGCTTAGCTAGCATAGCAAAGGAAAACATCACTTTTAGTGGACTCAACAACACACAACAAGTGGTTATTCAGGACTCAAATTCACCCTTCACTAAAGTCAGGCCACAGTTTATTCAATAACTAAAGATTTAAATTCAAGTAAGTAAATGTTTTAGTTAAAAGTATACCAACTCTTTCTTAAGCAGAAAGCAGGCGAACTGACCTATAATCATCCAAAAACATGTGTGATACAGCACACTCATTCTAAATCTGCTCTGGACAATAATTCGAAGTATTCTACTCATGAGTCTAGTCCTACAGGTGAAAATATACTAGTACTCCAAAACAATGTCTGTGGCTCTGCTGAAGGTGACATGAAGCAAGCAATGAATACACAAACATGACTTGTAATTTTTTTTTGTATTTTCTTCTTTTGCCAAGAGGGATTTCTGTGACCATGAAAATCACTTTTTCAGTGTAGTCTGTCGTCCTTTAATTCAATACCTCCAATTCAAAACCCTGATCAAACAAGTAAAAGCAAAACAAGCCAGCAAGCTATTGGAAGCTATTAATATTGAATTGTTTGATCATGGTTCTTAGGTATGAAAGCCTGCTTAACGTTTGTTTGTTGAGGTGTGACAAAAGAGTGTTTTTACCTCTCTGCCACCTAGTTCTGCAGCCTCCACTGAGACAGCCAGCAGGTCCCTTAGATCCACAGTTCTCCTCTGTCTGCAGAGAGGAAGGGACAGAACAACAAAGTGTTAAACAGCACTGAATGAAGAAGAAGCATCACACCAAACCTGCTGAAACCATATCAGCCTTATCAGCTGCTGGGAGGTGAAAGAGAAAGCAAGTTTTGGACACTGAATGCCCCTGGTACTTCTGAAATGAAGCTGCTATTTTGTGCTCATATTCATTATCTTACAATCACACCACTGTTATCGCAGACAATTAGAAAGATTCAATGTTTCCTCACAGAACACTGAAAGCCACGTAATGGTAATGATTCAGGTCAACAGTAGGGCTGGGTATTGCATTCATAAAACACCTATTTCTTAATTTCAGAAAAGAAGCCAAACTTCTGAACTGTAGCTGTACAAGACCTTTGCCTCAATACCAGTAGTTACATTTAGATTTAAAAACAGGCAAAAAATATCACGCATTACAGATCTGAACAGCCTGCAACTAACGATTATTGTCATTAGCGATTCATCTTTCGAGTATTTTCTAAATGAATTAAATTGTTCTTTGGTCCATAAAGGTGACGTACTCAAATGTATTCTTTTGTTCACAACCCCAACTTATTCAGTTTACTGCCATCAAGGACTAGAGAAACCACAAAATATTCACATTTAAGAGGCTGAAAGAGAGAGAGATTTGGATGTTTTTTCTTTAAAAAATTACTCAATTACAAAAAGAAAGTCACTGACAACAACAGACATTCGATATCAGGTTTTCAACAGACACATTTCAGTCTCTACCTAAGTACTGAGGACCAATACCCTGGCTGAGTAAGCAGCTATGTGACCCACAACAAACATTCAACTAATGATACAAACCTCAACCACAATCACAGATCTATATTAAAGGGTCAAAGTCAACCTGATGTACATGCAAATGCATATAGTGATGTGACCCGACCAACTCCATTACCTACTATGGCTGCACAATATGGTAAAAAAAAAAAAAAACATGTGTTTTAATAGATATTACGATATCACAATTTTCCTTTTCATTGAAAAATACTAAAAACAAAAATCTACTGTCTGTGTATTGGCAAGAATTTGGTGATACAATATGCATCACGATACAGGGTTATGATTCAATATATTGTGATACATTGCAGTACTATGAGGAACACTGGTAGCTCACCTGGTAGAGAGATTCCAACTTGTGGTCATTTTCAGCATATTGTCCCCTCTCTCTGTTCCCCCTTTCATCTCTATCAAGCTGTCGCAGTCAAAAAAAGGCATAAAAAGCCTAAAAAATTACTTTTCCATGCACCCAGAACAACCCTGCTATATAGTGGTTGGGGGTTTAAACACAAATATTGATACAGTGTTTTTAGAATCAATACAATATCACATAACACCTCTACTAAAAGCATTGTCATGTGAGATTTGTTGGCGTTTGTTCGTCTGGAGAACAAGATGTGTAAGGCAGGGTATCTCTGAGGCACTACAGTACTTCATCATAATGCTGACTGTCACATTTTACCTGTGATTTGCATATTGCCATATTGCCATTTAGATAATATTGCGATTAATTGTGCAATCCTATACTGAATGTGGCAAATCAATATATTGTTATACATAATTAACACACACACAGACACACTTACTATTTACAAGCATATTCTTGTTGTATTTATTAAATGTATCATATTGCTATTACAGAACAGTATTTTTATGGACTGTTTTCTTAATGAACTAGTCTTTCTTGTTTTCAAATGATTAATAGTTCGGCAATAATTGTTCCTAACATTCGTGCCATTAAAGCATATTAAAGTGAAACAGCAGCTCCAGTGAGAGGTAACGTATATCATGTGTGGTAATGGGAGAACAGTCTGACCTGAAAGCAGCCAGGCGGCTGGAGATGACTCCCGCATACAGGTGGTAGATGACACCGACTCCAAGGAGGCAGAACACCGCCACACCGAGCGGTGACAGTCGGATACCCATGGGAGCCATTGTCGCAGAATAATAAATACCTTGTACGTTTTAGTTGGATAACAAGACCACAGGCGTAAACCGAGAGCACAGAGCTGCTCGCAGTGTAACAGACTGGAGAGATAAGAGCTAGCTGACGTGGCTGTCCCCGCCGCCGGAGGGTCCCGATAAAGCGGCTAACTGGCTGCTGCACACCTGACGTTTGCTCTCCGGATAAACAGGTCGACTGTCACCTAGCGGACCGCTGAACGGCGGACAGACTGAAGCTGTCCCAGAAAACAACACGCTGGCTAATTTCGATTAGTTGGAGAGCCGTTTAGCACCGTCCGACGTCTGCGAGACTCATTTCTCTTAGTGACGACATTCCGTTAGCTGGACAGCCTGACTGCGGTCCTTATTCTCGCTGTTAACTCGCCGAAGCACGCCAAGGGTTCACTGGCGTCGAAGGCAGAACGGAACAATCACATCTCTGTTCAGTCATTTTTCCTCCCCAACGTTACGTACACAGCAGAGGTCACAGGCTGGTTACTTCTCTTCCGGGTTATCGCTGCTGTCGTCATCTGTTTGGGGTTCTTTTCTATTCCTTTTTATAGCCGCTGTTTGTAGAAATAATTCTTTATATGGTTTTTAAAAAGGGATACAAATAAACCATCTTTACGTTTTACTCTATACAGTTATAGAACATTTAAAAATAAAGGTCACATTTTGGGGGTTTTGTTTATCAAAGAGTTGCTTATTTACACAACCAACAGTTACAGAGCAACATTACTCTTTTAGCTCTGTTTTTGGTCTCTACCAACTCCTGAGGGAAATATCTGTTTCTTTAGCTGCTAAATGCTCCACTGTCCCTATTTGTTTGCATAACAGTGATCAATTATTGTGTTCATTAATAATTGCCTAATAGCTTCATTTGTTTCAAATAATCAGTGTTTTGGTTATAGACACGTATATATTTTATGCAGGCTCTTGTGCATCCCATCAGCAGGGTGTTCACACTTCCTTTTCAGAGGTGAAGTACAATGCAATACATAATCCACCTCTGTTAAAGGACCAGTGGGATTCCGTGGCATCTATCGGTGAAGTAGCTGATTACAACTCCCTTGCTTCACCCTCCTCTTTGAAGCATGTAAAAAGGTGTTGTTCGTTCTGGGCTATTGCAGAAAGATGGAAGACTCCATGGAAGGCAACCTGCTCCCTCTGTAGATAAAAATGGCTCATTCAAGGTAACGAAAACACAACTATTACTATATTCAGGTGATCATGAAAATAACTATGAATATTATATTCCATTTCTGCCAACAGATCCTCCTAAATGTTACACACTGGACCTCCAACAGGCCTCCTTCTATTATTTTCATGATGAATGCATATACAATGAACAAAGAAAATATTTTACTTTGTCACCAATCTGTATCTGCATGACCACTACAGGTAGGTAAGTATGTATTTTCCACTTTTTTGGGTAAACCTCCCCTTCAAAAATATACTAGTGTTTGTATTTATAAAAACAATCACAACAAACCACGTTCACAAACACCTTGGACATCCAGAACAATACAGCTCCCACTGGTTGTATTTGTGACACTACCCTCCCAGTATGCTTGAACTTGTTTTGCGTCCCAACAAATTACAGGTTTGAAGTGTTTCTCCAGAGTTTTATTCTTCTCAACTGAACACACTCTGAAACAACATTTGGATCGTTAGGTGACACACACCAATACAAAATAAACAGCTCTAATACATTCATTTTAAACGGAGGAAATTATTAATCATTTATAGAAAAATGTCTTGTTATTAAAGAAGCATGATATGATGCATTGGTCTGGGAGGAACCACCATCATAAGACCGGTTCAGTATCTATAAACCTCAAGTGTTGTTTGCCATCAGTGACACTTGGTAGTAAGCGTTTCTTCTTTGTAAAACCAGTAAGTGTTTCAGATTTCCATACTGTAGGCTGTTTCCATGTTCCCTTTCTCAGTAATAGTCTGAGATGCAGCCACAACATCACCTCCTCCTCATTTTCTCTCCTCCTCCTCACATCTCCCAACCAGCTGGCAGACATCTTCATAGGCTACTACACCGCCCGCTGGCTGTCTGCTCATCTCTCTCCTCGTCCTCACGCTCCGTCTTCTGATAGATAGATAGATAGATAGATAGATAGATAGATAGATAGATAGATAGATAGATAGATAGACAGATAGACAGACAGATAGACAGATAGACAGATAGATAGACAGATAGACAGATAGATACATGATGGTAGTGTTATTGTTAATAACAGTATATAATGATAATATTAATAATATTTATAATAATATAATTATAATATGTATATAGAATATGATGACTGAACAGATATACGTGTATAAACATAGATATTCTACATTAATATTGATATGATGTAAACGTGTCATATATTCATATATATATATATTTATATTCTGTGTCTCTGAAGACATCACTCCTTTTTCTGATATCTTTCTTTACCTCCTCACTTCTCCTCTTCTCCTCCTCGCTCTGTAGGCCATTTGACAGAGATGTGGTAAGACTTCAGCTCCTCCTCAGATACAAAGTCAGGGGCGCAGCTCATGAGGTCTTGACCCCGGAATGACTTGGGAAAGGCAATGACATCACGGATGCTGGGAGCCCCGACAATGATGGAGACCAGCCGGTCAAACCCTAGCAAAGCATAAGTTTAGAGTAATTAGACAACCTAATACATTTATAACCATTTTCACGTTTTAGCTCATGAATTGTGCATTTTAGTAGCACTATTGCACATTACATGAATCATTTATTGTATGCATACAATAAATATTTGATCAATACACCACTGACACTTTAACCCTGATGTCAAATTCCAGTTTTTCATATCTAAGTTGCATGCCACATGTCAGCCTGCCTCTTAAGCTAGCAAGCACAATAATAATACATAATATACACGTTTTACTGGTTGTATCTATGTATCTGTATTTTGTGTTTTTATTCTTATATATTAATACTTTAATTTACAGTAAAGTTTACTGTTAAAAACCTTAAATCTATCGTAATTGTCATGTTTTGCTCAACTGTAAAATCAGTACATAAACACTTTAATAACTTGTAGCTTTTAGATTTTTTTAACTGTAAGCTGTAGCAGGAGTATCTGAACATGAGGATATCATATGTGTACAAGGTGTTAAGAATAATAAAAATAAAAAAAAACAGTTAAGCCAGGCCACAAGTGTCTGCAGCAGGACCTGCATCTAGCTCAGAAACACACTGAACACAGCAAACTGAGCAGAGGAGCAGTGGTGTTAAACCTCCCCAGGGAGTGTGATGTGATAGGAGAATGTAATGAATGTAATTTGCAGCTTATTATTCACAATAACAGTGCAATCCGATGCAGCTCCTACACTGATCTGTAACACTGTGAGCTCAAACAGCAGTGGGAGCAGCGGTAAACTGCTTTTAGACTGACAGCTTAATGGATCAGCCCACAGGAGGTGGAGTGGAGGAGGTGTCTGTGGTTCCTGACTATGGTCTGGGTTTTATTGTGGGGGTCAACATGTTCCCTGAAGTGAGCACCCTAAATAAAAAACAAAATCAAAATGTGTAGAAATAGATTTCTTTACTGTCCTGAACTAGCTCAGCGATTGCTGAAGCAGGCTGTGGTCAACCATACCCAGAGCAATGCCTCCATGTGGTGGCGCTCCTGAGTCCAGAGCCTCCAGCAGGTGAGAGAGAAGACTGGGATCCTCCTGCAGCAGATAGGTTTCAAAAATAGTTATGATAAGCTAATTGATTCAACACAACTCCAAAGGTAGGCTGAACACTGGCAAAATATACAATGACTGACCTTGAGGATGTTCTTCAGGACATAAAGCTGTTCTGAGGCGTTGTGGATGCGGATGGAGCCTCCTCCAATCTCACAGCCATTCAACACCAGGTCGTAGTGCTGACCACGTACCTGGGAAGGACAGATGCATCCCACATGATGTATGATTATTTCTAAATATCTGAAAATGTATTTAGAAAAAGTTAGAATCAATCAGGTTTTGAGTGAATCAATGTGACTACCTTGTGTGGCTCTGTGTACAGTAACTGTGTGTCCTCTGGCAGTGCAGCAGTAAATGGATGATGGGCTGACTCCAGCTGCTCCGGCTCCTCTTCTTTGGACAAGAAGAGAGGGAAGTCCACAACCCAAAGGAAGCGGAAGGCTGAAGGGTCACGGACTGAAACGCCACGAGACTCCAGGAGCTCTGCACACAGCAGGCGAACATTACCCAGCAACGGGCGCTGAGAGCGGGAGGTACAGTAGGATGGAGAGACAGAAGACGAATTAACATACAAATACATCCTTGCTTGCTATAGTGTACAACTTTTCCCCTTCATGAGTCTGATCTAATCCAAGTTTGAGTCCGTTACCACAGTGTGGAGGGACCCGGCTGCTATCAGCAGCAGGTCGCCTGGTTCGGCTCCTGTCCTCTGCAGCAGCTCATCTGTGACTGAGACAGACAGCAGCTTCTTCAGGACAGACTTCAATGTCCCGTCTTCGTTGACCAGCACCACGCTGAGCTCCTTGGGACAAATCATACACATGAAGAAAGAGCACACAATGAGAAAATACACTTTGGTCCAGAATGAAATATATCAACAACTATTGCACAGATTGCCGTGAAATATTTGATTCATGGTTCCCAGATGATGAGTCCCAATGATCTCTAGTGACGTTCACATTTATAGAACTGTTTTGTAGACAGCCACTGTCTCCACTCACAGCCTCTTATAAACCCTCACTGTTACTGTATTTCACAAGTTGTTTATGGTCAAACCATTGTTTGGCCACACTTGTGTTTTGTTTGGTCCGGTTTATGGTACACAAAATATTTGCCAGGAACCTGTTTGCTCACACGCTACGATGCATAGTGCGTCCTGTAGCCTGCTTCTACTTGTTAACCTCTGATAAAGTGAACCACAGCACACGCCACCCAGCACCCTTTGCTGTGATTGCTGTGACATTACTATGTGTTTATATATATTCATACACACAGACACATTCTACATGGGCTCAGAGTCGTGCACCATGTGAAACTGAAACAACGTCTGTGTCCCAACCATTCATTTTATTTATTTTTGAATCCTCATTTGTTCTGTTTCCTGATTGTACTTCCTGCGTCCATTCTCCATTTTTGAATTATTAGTACAAAACAACAAAGACTGACCTGAACACACAGAACAGGAAGTGGTGAGTTCGAAAATGTTTCACAACACAATTAAAAAAATGTTTTAAATGTGAAAGTAAGGAAAGAGAAAAAGAGTAAAGACACACCTACCTGGCCAAACTGAGTCTTGGCGGTTTGTTTGACGTTTTCCAAATCTTTCCCAGAGAATAGTTTCTGTAGGCAAACCCAGGACAGATATCAAGTATCGAGTTTTAGTTGATATCAAACAGCTTTTTCTTTTTATTCTTATTGATTTGTACCAACATATGTTTAGTATGCCCTGGTGGAACAGGAAATGGATTTGCTCTTACCGCTCCACTGGGGACACGGATGGCCTGGACAGAGCCTTCTGGTTGGCTGAGAGCTGATCTGAGGAAGTTAATTTCCGTGGATAGGAAAACCTCACTGAGGTCCATCAACTGGACGGGCAGATAAGAAGAAAGACAGGGATTCAGACAGTGACAGATGTGTTTGCGGGTCCCACAGGTACATTCACACCCTCCTGAACATACAGATGAAACCGCCCAGAGGAGCATCTTCAACAGCAGTGGGTTTTTTTTAGCTGTAAGTCAGTTTGTTTGGGTTAACACAGCCCACGCTCATTGTGGCTCAACAGACCGGCATCACATCACAGTGTGCTGTGCAATAGACCACTCACAAGTGTTCTCCTTTTCTGAGACTGGCCTCTCATTGGTCTTTGGCAGTGTTGGGCTAGTTACTCTCTACTTAAATTAATATATTTTGCATTTTTTGTAACTTTCTAGCCCATTCTCTTTCCAAGGTCATCAAATGCAGACACCAGTAGTGTTCAGTTAGTCACAGTCTGCAATTTCACCACTAGATGCCACTAAAAGCTACACACTGGTCCTTTAAATTTTTCCTCTGGAGTTTTAGACCTCTCGTAGCGCTATGAAGCAGTTTTCTGTGAATGGGTTCCTGTTTTGTTTATATTCCTGCCAATGGTCTCACACTATTCCACTGATTAACAGGGAAATGCTGCCATGTGCCAGCAATGGCAGGCAAGAACAAGACTGCTAGCTAGTAAACATGAATGTAAACTATGCAGGATTTTAAACACTTTAAAACATCTGCTTTGTAAATGTCTATGGGGAAGAATGTGCATATTTATTAGAGCTCAAAGATACACAATGTATATTGCTGAGTACTACTGAATGTAAACATAACGTTTAACTTAAAGGATCATAAACTGTGGAAAACACAGTCATCGTTCTAACAGGATCCTGACACACTCAAAAGTACTGCCTTCATAATAAAGTGAGCAGTAATAAAGAGAAATTATTTGTATAAGTCAGAAGAATCATTTTGCTGTTCCATGCTATCCTCAAACAACTCACAATCACCCACCTTCATACTGAATCTGGTGTCAGGCTTGTCCACACCATAGTCCCTCATGGCCTCCTCATACGTCATGGTTTGGAAAGGAACCTTAATGGGACCTTTCTCTGCAGGCCAGGAGTACTGTAACAAACCCTCCACCAGGGACATGATGCCTGCCTGGTCCACAAAAGACATTTCTATGTCTACCTGGGAGAGATAATGAGAGCATAACCATTCAGAGAATATGATCAGGACCGTAAACCGACTAGTTAAGTCCGAGTCAACAACAGGATCAAGTACAAAGGGGAATTGACCCTTTCTCTGTCCCGTCCATTTTTTGGTCAACTTGCTCCTTTCCTGTACTTAGATATGCTATGTGCTAGGCTAATCTTATAAAGACAACTACACTTTGAAGATGGTTAAGTGATAAAAGCCATAAAGTCACATCTTAGGTTCACTAATATAGCAAATCAATTGTTGTTAGGTAGCTAGTTACATCTTGCTTACATAACTACCTTAAGATGTGACTGTATGTATTATACATATATATTAATACATATATATCGCTTTTATCTTTTAAACTTATTTAAAATAGGGTTGTCTTTCAGCACAGACGAGGCTAGCACATACCATATCTAAGTACAGGAGAGGAGGAAGTTGAGGTTCTCACTGGGGTTGCTCAACTGTCACTGGAACCACAGAGCAAAAGAAACGGGACTTCAGAAGGGTCAACTGAACAAGCAGGACAAATAAAAACCATGTATTCCCATATGGTCTAGCGGTTAGGATTCCTGGTTTTCACCCAGGCGGCCCGGGTTCAACTCCCGGTATGGGAACAAGTCTTTACCTAATTTCCTATCAAAAAACCAATATCAATTCTTGGACCACATGTCAATGTTTTAGCAGGGTCTTTGAGAGCACAGTGCAGTGGTTCAGATAAAGCCTGTGTGTTATCCTGCCTCTGTCTTACCTGGGTGAACTCAGGCTGCCGGTCTGGTCTGGAGCCTTCATCTCGGTAGCACCGGGCCATCTGGAAGTACCTGTCACAGTGACAATAAAGGACAAACACAAAGGCTGTTGACCATTAGAGAACAGCTTATTACTCTAATATGCCAGTCGACTCTTTGTAATGCATGATGGGATTTAGCTCTTGGTTAGTGACCATTGATTGTTCACTGTCAGTGGTGGAAAGTAAATAAGTGCATACACTTAAGTAGTACACATGGTACAAATTGGAGGTATCTGTACTTGTATTTTCATTTGACCCTACCTCGTCCTAAACTAGGGAAATCAAAATTTCACATTGAAAATGTAGGATGAACAAATAGAATATGATACATATTCATATTACACCATGCTTAATCTCTTTATCTTAAAGTCAATATCTTACTATTATTTTTCATAATTTTGTGACATTTTAAGTCTGAATACTAACTGTAACTCTTATTCTATTTTCTATTTTCATTATATCTTGTATTTTTATTTTTTTTTAACTTTCTATTTTAATTGAATGTGTACTTTCTTATCTCCTGTGTTGTATCTGGAGCTGGGATCAATAAAGTCTATCTTATCTTAACTTAATCAATAATGAAAATAACTGTCAGGCCTATAATATTATATAATAACATCACACAATAACTTAATTGAACTAATATTAGCTAATATTAGCAAAC